CAGCTTGTGTATTTCATAGCATAGATCAGGGTTCTTCAAACCTGGCCTTTTTATGACTTGTGGACTTCAACTCCCAGAATTCCTCAGCCAGGCACGTGAATTCTGGGAGTTGAAGTCCACAAGTCATAAAAGAGCCAAGTTTGAAGACCTCTGGCATAGATGTACAGTGGGCAAAAAAGTATTTAGTCAGCCACCAATTGTGCAAGTTCTCCCACTTAAAAAGATGAGAGAGGCCTGTAATTGTCATCATAGGTAGACCTCAACTATGAGAGACAAAATGAGAAAACAAATCCAGACAATCACATTGTCTGATTTGCAAAGAATTTATTTGCAAATTACAGTGGAAAATAAGTATTTGGTCACCTACAAACAAGCAAGATTTCTGGCTCTCACAGACCTGTAACTTCTTCTTTAAGAGGCTCCTCTGTCCTCCACTCATTACCTGTATTAATGGCACCTGTTTGAACTTGTTATCAGTATAAAAGACACCTTTCCACAACCTCAAACAGTCACACTCCAACCTCCACTATGGTGAAGACCAAAGAGCTGTCGAAGGACACCAGAAACAAAACTGTAGACCTGCGCCAGGCTGGGAAGACTGAATCTGCAATAGGCAAGCAGCTTGGTGTGAAGAAATCAACTGTGGGAGCAATAATTAGAAAATGGAAGACATACAAGACCACTGATAATCTCCCTCGATCTGGGGCTCCACGCAACATCTCACCCCGTGGGGTCAACATGATCACAAGAACGGTGAACAAAAATCCCAGAACCACACGGGGGAACCTAGTGAATGACCTGCAGAGAGCTGGGACCAACGTAATAAAGGCAACCATCAGTAACACACTACACCGCCAGGGACTCAAATCCTGCAGTGCCAGACATGTCCCCCTGCTTAAGCCAGTACATGTCCGGGCCTGTCTGAAGTTTGCTAGAGAGCATTTGGATGATCCAGAAGAGGATTGGGAGAATGTCCTATGGTCAGATGAAACCAAAGTAGAACTGTTTGGTAGAAATACAACTCGTCATGTTTGGAGGAGAGAGAATGCTGAGTTGCATCCAAAGAACACCATACCTACTGTGAAGCATGGGGGTGGCAACATCATGCTTTGGGGCTGTTTCTCTGCAAAGGGACCAGGACGACTGATCCGTGTCCAGGAAAGAATGAATGGGGCCATGTATCGTGAGATTTTGAGTGCAAACCTCCTTCCATCAGCAAGGGCATTGAAGATGAAACATGGCTGGGTCTTTCAGCATGACAGTGATCCCAAACACACTGCCCGGGCAACGAAGGAGTGGCTTCATAAGAAGCATTTCAAGGTCCTGGAGTGGCCTAGTCAGTCTCCAGATCTCAACCCCATAGAAAACCTTTGGAGGGAGTTGAAAGTCCGTGTTGCCCAGCGACAGCCCCAAAACATCACTGCTCTAGAGGAGATCTGCATGGAGGAATGGGCCAACATATCAGCAACAATGTGTGCCAACTTTGTGAAGACTTACAGAAAACGTTTGACCTCTGTCATTGCCAACAAAGGATATATAACAAAGTATTGAGATGAACGTTTGATATTGACCAAATACTTATTTTCCACCATAATTTGCAAATAAATTCTTTGCAAATCAGACAATGTGATTGTCTGGATTTGTTTTCTCATTTTGTCTCTCATAGTTGAGGTCTACCTATGATGACAATTACAGGCCTCTCTCATCTTTTTAAGTGGGAGAACTTGCACAATTGGTGGCTGACTAAATATTTTTTTGCCCCACTGTACATAGGTCTGATGCAGCTTCTTTCCTTTCTCTTTGCCTCACCTACTTTGTGCCAGTACAATTCTTAATTATTAATTATAAAACTCATTTCTAGAGGTGCATGCTTCTGAAACAGTTGACGAATTTAAAAAAGAATTATAGTCGCCCAGGAAAGAATGAAAACTCTCTTCAGTGCTGGCGCAATGGTTAGGATGCAGTACTGCAGGCAAACTCTGCTGACTGCCAGCAGTTCGATCCCGACCGGCTCAAGGTTGAACTCAGCCTTCCATCCTTCTGAGGTCGGTAAAATGAGGACTCAGATTGTTGGGGGCAATAATGCTGACTCTGTAAACCAGTTAGAGAGGAGCAGTTTATAAGGGCTCTTGCTATTGCCGGTACCACACTTGACTAAAAAGGCTCAATAACCATCCTAGTCCTAGATTTGAGACGAGTTTTTTTTTAAAAGGCTCTTTAAAAGGCAGGCAGAATAAGGGCAGTGTGAATCTCTGGGGGAGAGGGGGGAGGGAGTGCCCAGAAGGCAGGTGCTGAAATAGAGAAGGCATGCTAGATAACAGTTTCATCCATCAGATCCTGAGCATGCCAACTCTGTTTTAGCACCTGCCATGTGTCTAATCCCTGATTACACAGGATAGGGAGAAGACATGTGTGACTGACTGATAAAATTTCTAAGGCTGCCTCTCTTACCTGCCATAACTCTGGGCGGCTCACCCAATGAAAACAATAAAAAAATAAACTATAAATGCTCGCATCTCAAGAATAACTTCCTGTGCTCTAACCACACAGTCCACAGAGTTTCACCCTGTCCAATTGTTTGGTCTCTTATACCAGGGCTTTTCAACCAGTGGTATGGGTACCACCTGTGGTACATTGGCACCTGGCAGGTGGTACGCGACCATCCTAGAAAAATGGTAGCGGGGGAGGGGAATGAGCTGAACCGGTGGCAGCAGTGCACAAGCCTGAGCAAGAGATGGCTGGAGCTGCAGGGCTGCCAGGGCTCAGCGGAAGCCCCAGGATCAGCACCAGGCTCCAGCTGGAGCTTGGCGCTGATCCTGGTGCTTCTGCTGAGCCCTGAAGAAGCACCAATCAGCTGGAAAGCAGCACTGATCCTGGCACTTCTGCTGAGCCCAGAAGAAGCGCCAATCAGCTGGAACATTGCAGCATCTCCAGGGTCTTGTGATTTACATTCAGATGTTGGCAACTGATTCATATTTATGATGGTCACAGTGTCCCAGGGTCATGTGAAGTGACCAAAACCTGCTGCAACCACCCAGCAGGCGGGGGGGGGAATAAAAACCAAACACCCCCACCCCACCCCCGCTGCCAATCCTCAACAGAAATGCTCACAACAATGAAAACCTCGGACAGAAGGAAGAGCGCCGGCAGGTGGACAGGCAGGTGTCTTGCTCGGCTGTGGCTTGAGGGGCACTTTTTTCAGTGCCACTGTAACTGTCAGACCCAGCGTGAGACCTACCTGCGTGTGGAAGATGCACGGTACCCGAATCTCCGTACAGCGCTCTAAGCAGCCCTGTGGGAGCCGAGCACCGGCGACGTGAATGAACTGCTGCCGGCGCTTACACAGTGACGAACGGCCCATATGACTAATTACCATGCCGACAGAGAGGACGGGATAGACCGGCATTATGCAAGATGGACATATAAATATAGGACGCTGGGTCTGACAAGTGGTGGTTGCTGGGAAGGGGGCGGGGTGGAGACGCGGTACAGGTGGGGGCTGTAATCTACGGGGATAATCAGGGTGATTGGGGCGTACACAGTGGGTGTGGTGATCGGGTTATTTAGGACGCAGGGCAGGGGTGTGTCCCAGAGCTGGTTTTGTTTTCAACGGAGAAATAAACCTTTGTTGACTACCGCAACGTACCCGGTGGATCGTTTGTTTCGCGCGCCGGCAGGACGTTCTTATAGTAAACCAGCTCAGGATCAGCCCGTGAGTGGTACCACGCAGACCCTACCGGGAACGGTACGTTCGAGGCCTACCTTCAGATGCTTCCGCTGTAATCGGCCGGGTCATCGAGCCGCGGAGTGTGGAATACCCAAGCTAACAGGTACACCTACGGCGATTGGGACACCGGGGATCACGCCGAAGAGACCAGCAGTCGGATTGGATAGATTTCGTGCCGTTCGCAGAGTTAGCGTATAACAACGCAGTACATAAAAGCACCGGGTTGACCCCATTTCAAGTAGTTTACGGCTACGACCCAGTTACGCTGCCTGGGGGCGAGGCGCCGGGAGACGTGAACCTACAGCCTGGAGACTGGATGGCCCGTGCAGGCCAGGTGTGGGGTACAGTAAAAAAGGCCTTACAGCAAGCGGAAAGGATAGCGAAAGAGCAGGCTGACAAGGGTCGTAGACTACCAATGCAACTAAGAGTGGGTGATCGGGTGTACCTATCAACCAAATATATTAAGTTACAGGTACCATGCAAGAAGCTAGCGCCAAAATATATTGGGCCCTTCCGCATAGTACGCATCATCAACCCTGTTACGGTGCAGCTTCAGTTGCCGGAATTGCTTGGTAAGATACACCCAGTGTTCCATGTGAGTTTGTTGAAGCCTGTAGAGGGGGACACCCACAACAAACCTCCCCCAGGACCCATTGCCCCGGGAAGGTATGAGGTACAAGACATACTAGATTCTCGGTGGCGGAGGGGCACCCTGTATTACCTGGTGTTATGGAAGGGATACCCCTTATCTGAGGCATCCTGGGTACGGGAGGAGGATGTTTTCGCCCCTGCCCTCACCCGTCGATATCACAGGATGTGGCCACACAAGCTAAGGGGCTAGGGGATGGGTGATACGCCCACGATGGCTAGATAATGGATGTAATTGTTCATGTTCCATTTCAGGGGGCTCTATGGTAAGGGGGAGCCGAATGTCAGACCCAGCGTGAGACCTACCTGCGTGTGGAAGATGCACGGTACCCGAATCTCCGTACAGCGCTCTACGCAGCCCTGTGGGAGCCGAGCACCGGCGACGTGAATGAACTGCTGCCGGCGCTTACACAGTGACGAACGGCCCATATGACTAATTACCATGCCGACGGAGAGGACGGGATAGACCGGCATTATGCAAGATGGACATATAAATATAGGACGCTGGGTCTGACAAGTGGTGGTTGCTGGGAAGGGGGCGGGGTGGAGGCGCGGTACAGGTGGGGGCTGTAATCTATGGGGATAATCAGGGTGATTGGGGCGTATACAGTGGGTGTGGTGATCGGGTTATTTAGGACGCAGGGCAGGGGTGTGTCCCAGAGCTGGTTTTGTTTTCAACGGAGAAATAAACCTTTGTTGACTACCGCAACGTACCTGGTGGATCGTTTGTTTCGCGCGCCGGCAGGACGTTCTTATAGTAACTTCAAACAGTCACTAAGCGAACTGTTGTAACTCGAGGACTACCTGTACTTTATCACTTTTTTCCTTTTTTTTTTTTTTGGTCATCAAGTTTTTGACACCTTGCTAGGCAACTGGTGTTACTCGGATGTTGCCATATCCTAAAAGTGGCACAATGGGTGAAAAGGTTGAAAAGCCCTGTCTTATACAACTAGGCCCCATGCCATGTAGTGTTTATATATAATAACAAGCACCAGAATTGTTCCTCAAAAAGCTTAGTAGTAATCAGTGCTACACAGATATAATAAGACCTGCCTGTATCTGCTCACACTGTTACTTTCTGGATCAACTGAAGCTTCTGTGTGGTCTTCAAGGGCAGCCCTATGTAGAATGCATAGCAATAATCTACACACAAGATAACTAAGGCATGAGTGATGGAAAGAGGCTCTCCCGATCCAGGAATGGGCACAACTGGTAACCAAAACCAAAACTGGGCAAAGGGCACAGCTGCCACCAACTTTGTCAAGCAGATCCTGAGGATCTGTTTTTTCCCCTCCTGTTGTCTTTTCTGCTGTTGAAAGCCTCTTATTTCCTTATTCTTTGCTGCTGGTCTGCTTTTATCTTTTCTTTCCTTCTTGCGGTCTTCATCCTTATCTTCATTCTCACACCCACTCACCCTTTTCCTGGCACCGAGAAGCTTCTCAACCACATCTTTTCCCTCGACCTAAGCCTTGACAGCCCAAATCCTCTATGGAGAATTACAGTATACGTCTGCATGATACAGGGTAGTTTTTCCTATTTCGGGTTTTAGTCATAACCCCAAATTGCCTAAAAATTATCCATTAAGCTTATATAGACAACATTAGAAGACAAATGAGTGCTAAGCCCTCTATTGCCCCACTGTCTTTCCACACAGCTTCGGTGAAGATTAAACGTCTTTAGTAGCGCTATTGCAACTTCAGAAATACTCAAATCTGCAGCATTATTTTCACACTCCCAAGACACCTGCGTAGCTCCTGCCTGCGTGAACGTTCAGGTCGTGATCCACAGCAAGGATTGTTATCGTTTCCCTGTGTGTTCTGTCTTGTGTTTGATGCACTGAACCATAAAGTAAATTACAGATAGTCCTCGGCTTAGGACCACAAATGGGACCAGAACTTTGGTCACTTAAGGGAGTCATTATGTGACCGGACCTGATTTTAATCAGCATTTTATCACTAATCTGGTCCACCTAGCTCAGTGGTTCTCAACCTTTCTAATGCCGCAACCCCATAATACAGTTCCCCGTGTCGTGGTGGCCCCCAACCACTTATACATCACCGGGTGCCAGGGGCGTGGCCAAAGAAAAGGGGGAAAAAATGGCGGACAGCCTTGTTTGGCGACCCCCGTGAAATGGTCGTTCCACCCACAGGTTGAGAACCACTGACCTAGCTCATTACTGCCTGCCTTTAATGTGCAAATATTTTCAGGTTAACTTCATATATATTTTTAATCATAAGACTTTATGGGCAGGGAGGAGCAACCCTTGAGAGAAGGGACCACAATTTCCATTTAAAAACGAACAAAAGGCATGCTCAGGGGAGGAGTCCTATCATTGGGAGAGTGCTGTGTGCTTTGGAGGGTGAAGGAATTAAACTCCAACTTTGCAAAGCTCCCCATCTCACCTTTTTTTTTTTTTTGGCTTAATATCTGCCAGTCTGAGAGGGTTCTGGAGGCTGTTTGCACCCTGGAGAGATCACTGACCCTAATCTTTGGGAGAAATGTCCAGCCACTTCTCTGGATAAAACCCTGGATCTCACTACTTAGTTAGCAATCATGGCCCAGGCTTGTATCTGAAGGGCAGCAGCTCTCCAAGGTGTCCTGTAGAAGAGGGTTTTTTTCTCACTCCTTGCTATTGAACTTTCCAAACAGAACATGGCAGGAATCAAATTTGGGGAGTTTCTGTTGGTTAAAAAAAAAAAAAAGCTCTGTTATCGAGCTTCACCTCTTAAGCCTTTCCATCACAGGGAAAGCAAAGACAAAGCACAGATCGCAGAGATGTGTCATTCCATACAACTTAATATAGGGGTCTCCAACCTTGGCAACTTTTAAGACTTGTGGACTTCAACTCCCAGAATTCCTCAAGCCAGCTGGGAGTTGAAGTCCACGAGTCTTGAAGTTGCCACGGTTGAGGACCCGTCTTAGCAGGTCAGAGCACCAATCTCCTGCTCGCCACCCTTGCCTCACCCAAGACACCCCACACCAGCCTTACCTTACAGAGCACCAGTGCTCAAAAGCTAAGCCTAGCTCGTTATCGTGGCTTAACTCCAGAGAGATGTGAAGCGTAAGGAGACTGCATGCCAAGGGTGACCCACAAAGCAGGCGTGCCAGCCGTGTTGGACTGTGGGATCCCAGGCGCGGCTTGGGCCAGCGCCAAGCGGGGCAAAGGTGGGTGGTGGACGGTGAAGGAGGGGCGGGAGGTTTTGTGCTGAAGAGAAGCTAGTTTAATAGACAAAGCGGAGTTAGCAGTGGAAGATGGCGGCAGGAAAGACTCTGAAACTGGCAGGGATGACAAACTCTGTAGGAGGACAGGTTCGGAGTTAGAGGTGAGGAGGGGGGGAGGTGGTGGCAATGAAACATTAGGAGGAGGAGGAGGAGGGGTCCGAAGACCGGCACATGCTGGGGGGCGGGTGAGGTGCTGGGCATCGTTAGATGGCGCTGGGTTGGGGGACACATGGAATGATGGGGTGCTGGCGGCGACCTGCAGAGGATTTAAGCTTAAGAGGGTACAGCTGGAAACAGCACCATTGCCAAAATGGAGGGAGGAGGTGGAGGATGAAAAAGAGGAAGGGGAGGGAGCGGAGGAGGAAGAGGAGGAGGCAGAAGGCACCACATGGTTAAAAATACCTGCAAACAGGAGAGAAAAAAACCCTCAGCAGATGGACTTTATACAGCTCACAGCAAGAGAAGCAAAACAAAAGCAGGCAGGCAAGCAATAATGCAGTATGAAAACAGCAGCAGGCGATGGGCAGTGGCAGTTAAACAAAACAAACAAACACAAAACCTAGCAAAAGAGAGACGCACTTACCTCTTCCTTGCTCATGCTCTAGAAGCACCAAGGGGGAACTCCATGCCTGAACTCAATACCCCAACAGAACCCCCCAGTGGAGATCAACACATGGACCCTAAGTAGTCAAGAATCGCCTGAAAAGCTATACCATTCATTCTAGGCCCATTCTCAAGATACAGGCAAGCACACTTGGGGGAAAAAAATGAGATTCCCTGAGATTCTCAGACGCCCGAGTTCACCGAAAAGGCTAAAATATATAATGCTGCAAAATGTCCCAAGCCTCTCCTCATCCCAGCTCATAGAAATTCTCACAGAACCGATTAAAAGGTGCTCTAGAAATTTGGCTGCATGACAGGGATTCACAAGGATTCCTCAGTGGTGGCGAACCTATGGCACGGGTGCCAGAGGCGGCACTCAGAGCTCTCTCTGTGGGCACTCGCACCATCGCCCCAGTCCTAGGCCTTCAGCTGCGTTTTATAAAACCTTTTCGCTTTAGGCCTCCACTGCCATGTGCCAAAAAAAAAAAAAAAAAGGATACAATCAGTCAATTTCAACTTCTCGCGGGGGAAAAAAAAGATCTCGCAAAGTTGGAATTGATTGATTGAACTTTTTAGTCCCAGTCTACTGTTACCACCGCAGCCACGCCCACACAATGGGTCACACCCACCCAATGGGTCACACCCATCTGGCACCCGACGATGCATAAGTGGGTTTTGGGTTGCAGTTTGGGCACTCGGTCTCTAAAAGGTTTGCCATCACTGCCTCAGGAGATAAACCCAGATGAAAACGATTAAAAATATCTGCCATTAGGATGGGGGGGGGGAATGAAATACCAGGAAGGGTGGTGGAATCTGCCGCTGAATTCAGAACGGAGAGGCTCCTTCCCAAGGAACTAATAAGACAAGTCAGCCTTGAGTCCCTGGTATGCAGAAAGATCCACCCTAATCTTCGTAGGATTTATCAGCCAGTTACGCAGTGTGTGCTTTAGTCTGGCGAGATTCCTGTCTATGGGCGAACAGCAATAAAGCAACTACTTTGAACAAGTCATCATGTCATTCTTGCTCCCTTGCACCTGACCGTGTGTCCCTTGCGGTCACAGTGTGCCACGAATAAAGTTTAGCTTACCTCCAACTGTTCCACCTGTCATCCCAGGAGAGAAGTTCCCCATCGTGTGTGAGTTGGTCAGGCGGGTGGCAGCTGATGATACATGCACTAGGCTGGCAGCTGGCATCGAATTAAATAAGGACTGCAGTACCGAGGAGTTTGTTACCATGGGGCCAAGGGGAAACTGCGTGCCAGGGGTTAAGGAGTTCAAGAAAGGGTGGTGGGTCTGAGTAGAGGAGGCCATGCTGGACGACTTGCCAGAGTTGGCTGCCGAGAGGCTTTTGCCATTGAGAAGGCCACCAGAGGGGACAGCAGCAGCAGCAGCAGCAATGAACAGGTTGTGGCCGTTCTTGAACTCCACGTCTCGTTCCCGTCCTTTGCCGAATTTGTTGTTTAGCACCGAAGCCTTGTCTGAAGAGCCTCCCAGCCGGACACTCAGTTCGTTGGCCTCTTTGCCTTTCAGTCCTGACCAGTTTAAATCTTCCCCTTTCCCACCGCCAAGGCTTTCTAGCTGCCTCTTGCCCAAGAATGGATTTGTCTCGGGGACTCCGGCCTCTTTGTTCCTTTGTATCAGGAAACCCATTGAGGAGGCCCCCAGAGCCGTCACCACGTCAGCAGTTTTGTGAGAAAGTGAAGCACCATCAGTAAAGCTATGTAAACCGACATCTGCAGACAGCCCGCCGTTGTAAGCAAATCCATTCATGGTATTTTGGCCAAGCCCCTCAGATGCAGTTGCATGTTTCCTCACATGCGTGCCAGCCCTGTCGCCTGCCACGTTGTCATCAGAGGATTGTCTGAAGGCGAAGAGGGTGTTCTGATTCAGGGATGATGCCGACGCTTGCAAAGGACTGTCTGCCATTTTGGAAAGATTGATGTCAGAAATTGGAGAAAAGGTTGATTTCCACTTGCTGCTGTTCATGCTTTCAGTAGCCTGCTTTCTCCCAGCTGAGTTGATGCCTGCAAAGACAGAAAATGTAGGTGTCAGTTCAAGAGAACGTGGTTTCCCTTTCGGCAGTATTCTGGATCGTGTAACTCTATGTAATCCTGACTAGAGCATGTATCTGTATGTTAGAATATCTGGCATTTATTGGGTTAAGTGCTGTCTTCTTAAGAGATGGCTTATGGGAAATGTAGTTTTACCTAGTCAGTCATCCCACGTTAATGGGTCAGTGGGTGGAGTTTCTAAAGGGCATTGGGAGACTTCCTGGATACAAGCCAGATTGGAATGTCTTTGTCTAAAGAGAAGCATGGGCCATCAGATGTCACCCGATGACCCTGTTCCACTATAAAGATGGTATGGAGAGAGCATTATCTTTTCACCTATGGGAATGAACAGAGATGTATTGTCCAGAAGAAACAACCAACACAATTGCAAGTATTTCCTCTGAATAAATATATTTTTGTTATGAAATTATTCCTATTGAGTTTATCTGCCTGACCCAGTTTTACAACGCAATTTAATTCTGGTTGTCAGAACAGGCAGAGTAATAAAATTAAATGAGGACCCTGTTTTTAAACAGGGTTAGCTTTCTTGATCCCAAGGAGAAAAGGCAGCTGGTAACTAGACTGTCGGCCAGAATTCTGCAGCCAGGAACTGCCATACAAAGGCAACTAAATCGTCTACTGTGCAAGGACTCGTAACGGAAGGAGAGTAACTTCTGCATTCATCACAATTAGAGAACAGCAGCCCATCTTGCTTGGATCAAAATCCACTTAGTCCAGCACTATGGCTTCTAAAAATAGTCACCCAGATTCACACCACAAGAGATATAGACTGCCTTAGAACAGAGCACAAGCTATCTGAACTCAACCATGAACTCAATCATTAAAACTGAGGGCCAGTAGCCATCATCGCATCTTTTGAAATAGTATTTCCATCATTACCTAAACTTAGATGCTCACGTATTTTTTTTTTTTAAACACTTCACAGTGAATTCACACATTTTGGTTTTGGTAACAGCTATTGGATCGTGATGCTTCAGGCGACTTGCATAAGGCTGGTAAATGTTTTGCAGTTCTTTTTAGTTTTTTATTTTTGTTTTTACAGAAACCCTACATCTATTCTAAATCTACAGCAACAGGACAAAACAAAAAGCATAACTGTCAGCATAACCAACTTCCCTACCAGACTCAAGCTGAGGGAAAAATGGGAAGCTATGCTACAAACAAGGCCCACAATTTGTGGCTCCTTCCTTTCCTGAACCATTTTGGTGCCAGAAAGGCTTTATGAGAAGTAGATCACCACAAGTGGTCAAGTTTATTTTTATTCTTGTTCTGATCAATCCCTTTTGTCTTATCAAATGCCCACTTACTGGTCTATAAACTTACTATTTTCCAGCGGCTTTTGTGGAGATTTGCTTTCCAGTGATATTGTTGCAATTTTTCTCTCAATTCTAGGAAAGAAAAAGAGGATTATTTGATTAATATACAGACATGTTAGAAAGCACAGTCTCTGTCACAGGTCCTCCAGCAGGATAATGGCGCAAAAAAAATACACCTAAGACAGGGGTAGGCAACCTTGGCTCTTTTATGACTGGTGGATTTCAACTCCCAGAATTCCTGAGCCATGCTGAGGGGAAAGGGAGAGGTTTCAACTCCCTTCAACTCCCAGAATTCCAAGCTCAGCCATGCTGGCTCAGGAATTCTGGGAGTTGAAGTCCACAAGTCATAAAAGAGCCAAGGTTGCCTACCCCTGACCTAAGAGAACCCAAAAATGGTTGAAAATCTAGTATTAAACTGTTCTGAAATGGCCTGCTATGAGTCCTGATCTGAATCCAATGCAACATCCATGGAAAGAGCCCAAACTCACGGTTGGGAGTTTCCTTATCTAAGAGAACTGGAGTTGGGCAGTCAATAAATATAAAGAAAAAAAAACCCACTGCCACTGGAGCTTCAGAAAGTACCCGATGGCAGTTATTGCCTCAAAACAGTGTGCTACAAAATATTAGGTCGGGGGACTAATAATTACAGGTAGTCCTCAGGTTACTATGGTAATTGGGACCGAAATTTGCATTGCTAAGTGATGCAACTGTAAAGTGTGATGAGGTATTACATCATGGTGACAGCGATCCCAGCCCCCACTGCTGTCATTAAGCGAGGACATGTGACCATGACTTGTGACTGCCTCTTGGCTTCCAACAAGCAAACTACCAAAAGAAGGGAAATATTTGTAGCTGAAGGTTGAACTGTAGCGTCCTGGGTGCTCTTTGAGACATTTCAAGCAAACTAAATAGGGAAGCCCTCATAATCATCTGAGTTTGAGATTCGGGGACTATGGATTAGTTTATAGTTTTAGAATGAAAAACTAAACACTACATTCATCAGTCTTCTTTGCTGTGAAGCCAGGGAATTTTCCCTAAGCCCTTGGTGCCCGTCAGGAATTTCATTTAACACACTACTGTTTGTTATGGTTTCTAATGTGTTCTTTTCTCCCCTTACTGAGAGAAAATTCAGACAATAATTAAGAATGATGATAGGTTAAATATTATTAGGAAGGCCATTACATTATGATAGTAATTGAACCCAGAATTACAATCATCAGTCATTGAGGTTGCAAGGCAAGGCACCATGTGACAAGACATGATTTTTTTGACATTTTTTGTGGCAATCATTAAGAGAACACCATGATCTTAAGTGACCACAGTGGTTGTTAAATGAACACAACAGTCGTTAAGACAATCTGTTTTTCCACTGAGCATTTTTTTTTTTATAGAAACTGGAAGTAAATGCTGGAAAGTGGCCAAAACGTTTCCAGGCAAACAGATACAAAAGTGAGTCAGACGCCAAGTGCACAAAATGCAATCATGGGACCACTAGGTGTATGTAACTAGGTGTGTGTAACTTTGAAAACGGTTGTTAAGTAGTTCTGGGGAGATAATTTCAAAGTCATTAAGCGACTGATTGTAAATCAAGGACTATCTGTAAATGCTGAAAACGTAAATCAGCCCCTACAGGACTGCAAACATCACTAGGGTGTGATTTTAATAAGGAGACATAAGGGGAAAGTAATACTTCCAAAAGTCACATCAAAACTGTAACATATGTAATACATTACAAATGCACAGTATTATTACATGGTAAAGAAACCTAAAGCATACTTTCCAAGTTAAGCATCAGTTTAATGTCGGGGAAGGATGTGCTGTGGATCTGAGATCATATGTTGCTACTTCTCACCTGGTGCTGTTATGGTCGTCCTCCAGACTCTGTTCTTCATCAGAGGTTAGCGGGGAGTAATGAATGCCATTGGTCTGAATTAGAGGCTTCTCCTTTTTCAGCACAGGTGGCTGATCATTGTCCTGGTATGGAACAGGAGAATTCTTCAGGGAATTTTCAGGGGAAGAAATGGCTGTTATTTCTAAAGGCTGGTTAATGTTACTGACCTGAGGAGGGAAGACAAAAACAAAACATTAAGGATTGAAAAAAAGGCAAGGGACAGGAAGAAAGAGCTAACTGTGTTTCTAGGGATTTTGCTTTTAAAGACAGCACTGCTCAGCTTTGGGGAAGAGTAATAGGCAGAAAGTTATTACAAGTAGTCCTCAATTTAGGATCATTCACTTAGTGACCATTTAAAGTTATGACAGTGCTGAAAAAAGTGACTTACGAGCAGTGCTTTTTTTGTTAAAAAAAAAAGTGCCAGAACTCACACACGTCATACAACCCGCCTTGCCTACCCTACAAGGTTCCATCCAAAAAAGTTGCCGGAACTCCGTTCTGGGCGTTCTATGACAAAAAAAGCCCTGCTTACGAGTGTTCCTCATAGCATTCCACAGTCCTGTAATTGCAGTCCGGGTGCTTGACAATAGCAATAGCGCTTAGACTTATATACCACCTCATAGTGTATTACAGCACTCTCTAGGCCACGGGTAGGCAACCTTGGCTCTTTTATGATCTGTGGTCTTCAACTCCCAGAATTCCTGAGCCAGCTGGCTCAGGAATTCTGGGAGTTGAAGTCCACGAGTCATAAAAGAGCCAAGGTTGCCTACCCCTGCTCTAAGCGGTTTACAGTGTCAGCATATTGCGCCCCCCCCCCCCGCCAACAACCTGGGCCCTCATTTTACCAATCTCTGAAGGATGGGAGGCTGAGTCAACCTTGTGCCAATCAGAATCGAATTCCTGGCAGTGAACAGTGAATTAGCCTACAATACTGCATTCTAACCACTGTGCCACTATGGCTCCTGCCAGCCAGCCTGCATTTCCAACAGTTGCAGTATCCCTGCATCCACATAATCGCCATTTGTAACCTCCTCATCTGGGTTTCCAACAAGCGAAGTTTTATGGGAAAGCTGGCAGGAGGTTGCAAGTTGCAGTGACATGACGTCTTGCTTAACGACTGCAGGTGATCTGCTTAATGATCACAGCAAAAAAGGTCACAAATTGGTTGCAGTCACGTGATGTCTCACTTAATGACAAATTTTCTGGTCCCTATTGTGACCATAAATCGAGGACTATCCCTATATTGGTTACAAAACATTTACTGTATATACATAGTGCTATTACGTAGTAACAGATTTACACAGATGGAGTAAAGGGACTCAGAGATATAAAACTCCCAAATTTGCATTTGAAAGTCTTTTGGAAAATGCACAGAGAAACAGGAATAAAGACTTACCAACAATTAATTAGCATGACAGTAATGTTAAACAGAATTTTTTAATTCCTAGAATTCCGTAGTCAATGTAGGGCAGAGGTAGGCAACCTTGGCTCTTTTATGACTCGTGGACTTCAGCTCCCAGAATTCCTGAGCCAGCATGGCTCAGCTTGGAAACCTCTCCCTTTCCCCTCAGCATGGCTGGCTCAGGAATTCTGGGAGTTGAAGTCCACGAGTCATAAAAGAGCCAAGGTTGCCTACCCCTGGTGTAGGGCAATGATGAAGCAAGTGTTGCAAAGTAAGATCCTCACCTTTTGTATGTGCAGGGTCAGAGTATCACAACTTCACAACTTCATTTTATCATTCTAACAAACCACTAGATTCTGCAGGTTTCTTCCTGCAGCTCTTCAAAAATTTAGGTGGATAAAATGCAACCCCCAACCCTTGAAACATGGCTCAATCCCTCTCATATGTCAAATCTTTTTCTAGACAGGTTTTTCCTTTCTAGAACGAGAAGTGTCAACTCCGTTGTCCAATCACATATCTATAATAAGCATTCAGGCCTAAATAAAAAATGATCTCATGAGCTACCTGCTGGCTGGCCCAACTTTAATTCACTGGCTCCCATGTTTCTATGAAGTAATTTTAGTCATAATCACCTTCTTACCCATCTCTACAAAATCTTTCTTTAAACTAGGGGTGGGCCACCGCGGCCCTTTCACGACCTACGGACTTCAATTTCCAGAAGTTCACAGATCTGGAGGGGCCATAGTTGCCCACTCCTGCATTACAATGCAACCCGCAATAGTTTACAATTCTTTAGGGAAGGGTGGGAAATCTGTGCCATGCCAGCTGGGTTTGATAGGGTGAATAACTTGCCCAAGATTTAAGAACTTGTGCCATAGGAGCCAAACTCAGCTGAGAGGGCCTTTGATTTTAGATTATAAAACCTCAAGGAAGAACCCAACCTGTCACATCTCTCTCTCTACGGGAGAAAGTGAGTGCTATTCCTTGCCTCTTCCTATGCATACAGAACAGCAACTGAATTTCATTCACAGTTAGGAGGGCAGAAATTCATGCACGGGATTACAAGAAACACTAAGGAGGCTGTTCAAAACAGGACTTTCCCAAACTTTTTATAGCTCCCTCATGAACAGACCCTCAAAGGGAACTATACAATTACCTTTGGCGCATGATAAAACAGTATCCCTGCTATTTATCCAGCTATTCAAATGCAGGTAGCCCTCAACTTACGACCACAAACTGAGCCCAAATGTTCTGTGGCTAACCGAGACAAGTGTTAAGTGAGTTTTGATCCATCTTACAACCTTTCTTGCAATAACTTTTAATTCAATCGCGGCGATTGACAAGTTAGTAACCCAGTTGTTAAATGAATCTGGTTTCCCCCGTTGGCTTTGCTTGTCAGGGAAAGGGAATCACGTGACCCCAGGGAATCATGTGACCCCAGGACACTACAATCGTCCCAAATATGAATCAGTGGCCAAGCATCTGAATTTTGATCACGTGATCCTGGGAAGATGGCCAACAATTGTCAGCGTGAATAGTGGTCATAAGTCACTTTTTCAGTGACGTTAAAACTAGAATGGTCACTAAATGAACTGTTTTAAGTCAAGGACTACCTGTAATTTCCAAAAGATCTCTGAAATGGTCTATGAAAAATTCCACTAACCATCATTCGGGAAACAGTTTCTAATTATATTGGAAGCTACCTTAAGCCAAGTAGGCTATGTGTTTATCAAACTCAGCATCATTTCCCATGATAAACATTCTTCTGGGACTGAAGCAGGTTTGAACTCTCCAACGGCAGGCCCAAGGGATTCAGCTTATGCAAGTTTGAAAATTGTTTTTAATTATGTTTTCATATAATTTTGTAATCATCACTCCAATTTAAAAAAAACGGATTGACTGATGCTTGGGATTTAACCTAGAATCTTCTATTAACAAAACAAATCAGTCAATAACCTAACATCCATATTCAAAATAATTTTTTTACCCTTGGTCGTCTGTTAAGACCTCTCACTTATTTTAGGTGGGCAAAATGATCTGCTCTTAAAACTGCAGAGCTCAAACCTTGATTCTCACCATGGAGTTGATATTAAGGGGAGATCCAGAAGGCTGAGCAAAGAGCCCAGCCATGGGGGGCAATGATTTGCGTTTGGGTGACACCCCGGAGTTCACACACGGCGTTCCTGTGGAGGACCGCTTCCTCCGGCCACGCTTCTTTCCATCTTGCATGTAGGCCTGGCCACAATCGGCCCGGATACTTGTGGTGAGGGGGCTGTGCTTGTTCGACGGAGAATGTTTGAGGGTTCCTGTAGCAGGGGAGATGGTGAAGATGATCCTTCGTTTGCTCTCGCTCTCAGGGTCAGAAAAGGCAGGGTCGAATGGGGGGTCTCCTCTGGCGTTTTCAGCAAACATCTTTTGAGTCTCTATGTACTGCAGTACCCCTCCCAGGCTCTGGGAGATGCCGTTCAACCTAGGGCTCGCGGAATGCTGGTGTGCAGGCGAGTTTTGCCCAGAATTCCGTGAAGACGACGTAAGCAAAGAGGGATGCTGTGGAGTAGAGCTTCGAGACCCCGTGGAGTTGAACAAGCTTCCCGAACTGGATACCTCCTCCATAGCTGCACTGTCAGCAGCTGGGTTCAATGGGCTATTTGGAACGGTCCCACCGACTGGTGCAGAGCCAGACATGTAAGAAAAACCTGGGTAATGTGGAATGAAGAAAATTAGACATCAAGAGGAATCAGTTAATTGGTTTGGCCATTTTGTTTATTTATTAAATATATATGCTGCCCATCTCTCTGATAACTTTGGACAGTTTACAAATCGTAGAAAGATACATAGAAAAGCAGTTAACAATTTAAAACTATGTAAATTAAAAACATTTAAACTATGCAAATTAAAAATTTAAAACGATGCATAAGAGGGGAGATGGGTGGCATAAAAATTGAATAAATAAAATAAATGCATATATGCTGCTCTGTAAATTAAGATCTTCCACAGAGGTTCTTTACAGATATTCCTGGCATTAGAGTTCATCAGAGGCTAAATAGCTGGAGAAATAGCTTTCTTCACACTATTTACAATGAAAAAGAGGCATTCTCTCCAAAGTGGATCAATTGATCCTTACCCTTGTCATTTGGTTCTTCCTGCCCTCCTCCATGTTTCAAAACATAGAGTCAAAACAGATTACTAAATGCTCAATGTAATAAGCCAATTTTAAAAATCCTCAATAAATAGTTATATAGCCTCCATCTGAAGATATCCAGTGAAGAAAAAACAAACATATCTCTGGGTAATTGTTTCTTACTTTCAAACTGTTCTTTTCGTTAGAGCAAAGCTAACATTCAAATGGAATCAGTCTTCCTGCAGTTTAATAAATTCAATAGCCCAAATCCTGAATTCTGGAATAAGAGATAATACACCTTGCCTTTCTTCAGTATAACAGTCAGTCCACACTTCTCTTAAAGGAACAGATTCAAAATAAATCAATGAGGCGAATAAGGGGGCTAAAAACCAGGACATCCAAAAGGTATAAAGGAACTAGAAATGCTTAGATTTGAGAAGACTAAACAGTCTAGGATACCATATTCTGAGGTCTTTTGTGTGAATGGGTATTACTTTGAATACTGCCAATGAGCTTCTTACCAATTTATCTCTGGAATCAATTAACCAGACTGGAGGTGGATTCATCTTCACTAGCTATATATAAGTGGAAGTGGATTTGAATTCATGTATTAAGAAACAGACTCTGTCTACCCCTTCAAACTCTCTGATTCTGTGATACAATTGCCCAACGCTCCTGAGCATTTCCTATTGCTTTCACCTTTTTCGTTTTTTCATTTCCATGGGAAAATATTAAGGGGGAAACAATGAATAAATTCTCTGACTGACAGCACCACCTGTCTGAAATCACCAGAGACTTTGACTCAAACCAAGAGACATTGGTTAACGTGGTCAGAACCAAAACGTTGGATTCCAGCTCCAAGCTTTAATAATTTATTCCTCAATAAACAAAAGAACAAGTATAACATTTATGATTCATTTGTTTACTTGGGATGTCTCGATCTAATTTTAGGATGTGTGGAAAACAGACCGCGTTTTGTTCATATTTATGCAGAAATGTTGAAAATTCACAAAAACTTTTAAGCATCACTGCACCTTCTTCGCACGCACGCGCATTTTAATCTCTGAGCAGCTGACACGCTCAAACACACCTACTGCCAGTTGGAAAACAGCAGTGGGCAAGGAAGGAGCTCACCTGAGGTAGCCAAGGTCAGTGGCTTGTTACCAGCAGCAGTGCTAATGCTGTTATGAGAACTAGCACCAAATTGTTTTTCAAGTGTTGAAAAGGAATCTCGGTTCTGATGGACAGGGCTAGGTGTGCTTCGCTGAAAGAAGAAAGGCAGAAAAAGGAGACGGTTGGAAAAGGAAGCATAATAAAACTAATTTGGGTTAAAACAAGTACTTTTGAAAATTACTGCTCTTCTGTTAAGGTTAGACTGCGGGTAAGTAGTCGTCAGAAAGGAAGTAAAATACAGTCACATTCAGAACTCTGTTCTTCCAGGAGGAGCCACTTCTCTCTGCAGATGACAGCAGCGGTTTTAAACTGTGTCAAACTATTTATTCATCCCAGTTGTCTACTCTGCTTAGCAGTCATTCTCTGCCCATCAACCATGACCTCACATTCTAACCCAGTGATGGCGAACCTTTTAGAGACCGAGTGCCCCAAAAGCGGCTCCAACCCCACCTTGCACCCCCACGCTGCCCCCCACCCCACTCCACCTCCTGCTCTGCCCACCCGCAGGGCCACCCACCAACTCCACAGCCCGCCGATCGCCCAGGTGCCCCCGCAGCGCCATGGCAGCTACACCCTCACCCGCGCCCTGCAGCATCAACTGCGCGCGACGGGGTGCGAGGGCGGAGTCTTGTCCCCACTGCCTGGCTGCCATGTCCTCGGCTGCACTGCTCTGTGAGGGCCGCACTCGGGGGCGACTCTCCTCCGTGCAGGCCACACTCGGGGGCGACTCTCCTCCGTGCGGGCTGCACTCAGGGGCGACTCTCCTCCATGCAGGCCGTGCTCGGGGGCTGATGATAAGGAGAGGGCTGCGGGGGGAGAGGGGGCTGAAGTGATGGCGAACGTGCTCTCAGAGAGGGCTCTGAATGCCACTTCTAGCATGTGTGCCGTAGGTTCACCACCACTGTTCTAACCCATGGATTATATGTGGTCACATCTCTTTTCGAAGCCCTCACAGACCCTGGCTACAAACTAATGGCATGGCTTCCCACCAGGCTGTCTACACATGCATGCTAGAGCAGGGGTCTTCAAACTTGGCCCTTTTGTGACATGTGGACTTCAACTCTCGGAATTCCTCAGCCAGCTATGCTGGCTGAGGAATTCCGGGAGTTGAAGTCCACAAGTCACAAAAGGGCCAAGTTTGAAGACCCCTGTGCTAGAGTGTCACACCTTAATAGCAATGACATAATTTAAGAAACAAAACCAAACATGGAAAAGTCAGGCTCTGGCCATGTGTGATGCAGTCCGCTCATTATAAAACATTGCTCCATGCACTGCTGCCCTCAGTCTCCACAAAAATTTTAAATGCAATCCAGAGCCACTAAAGGATTGTTTATCCTCATCCTAGCCACTGAGGTGAGGACTGAACTTGGGATGTCCTATATCAGTGGTGGCGAACCTATGGCACGGGTGCCAGAGGCGGCACTCGGAGCCCTCTCTGTGGGCACACGTGCTGTTGCCCCAGCCTCACCTCCGCCCGCAACCCCCTCCTCTCCAGCAGCCCCTCTGAAGGAGAGTCGCCCCTGAGCGTGGCCCACGCAGAGCAGCGCAGCCAAGGACACGGCAGCCAGGCAGCGTAGACAAGACTCTGCCCTCACACCCCACTGTGCACAGTTGATGCTGCAGGGCGCGGGCAGAGGGCGTGACCGCCATAGCGCTGCTGGGCTGCCTGGGCAATCTGCGGCGGGCCCTGGAGGCGAGGAGTGGCCCTGCGGGCAGGTGGGGTGGGGGATGGGGGGCGGAGCTGGGGCGCAGCAGGGGGTGGGGTGGGGCCAGTTTTTGGGCACTTGGTCTCTAAAAGGTTCGCCATCACTATCCTATATGCAAAATCTGTGCTCAGTCATTCGGCTACAGCTGTTTTATCGGGGGGAAATAATGTTCCATATCAACCACAGGATTATTTTGATTCACATACCAAATATTTAAACTAGCCTTTATTCAAGTAGTTACTTTTTAACAGCTTGACAATCTCAATAACAAAACCAGAAGCTAGAACAAAGCTGCTCAAGGTAGCTTAAGGACTGAACACAGATTTAACAATCTCCTCTTAGCACGTGCATAGAAAGCTAATAGATATACTGAAAAAATGAGGGCTGTAAGTTATTTAAAAAAGCAAAAAGGTGTAATTACTTAGGAATCAGTATCATGTATAAAATTTAAAAAGATTTTAGAAATGGTTTAGTAAGTTCAGTTAAGAGACACCAAGAAACAGAACTATATGGTCTGGTCCAGTGGTTCTCAACCTTTTTAATGCCGCGACCCCCCAACCAGTCGTAAGTCGAGGACTACTCAACTGGTGCAGCACTGTTTGCAGAATGGGACTTTTGGCGGGCTCAGCAGGGCAGAAACAGCCTGGACAATTCCTATTGGCTTTTGAAAGCCAATAGAATTAGACTCTATTCAAGAGAGTCTATTCTATTGGCTTTCAAAAGCCAGTAGAATAAAAGGGAGTAGCACAGCTAAGGAAAAGCGGGAAAAAAATGGCGGACTGCGTTGTTTGGTAACCCCCATGAAATGGTCGTTCGACCCCAAATGGGGTCCCGACCCACAGGTTGAGAACCGCTGGTCTAGTTAGTGGTTAAGGCACCAATCTAGAAACTGGGAGACTGTGGGTTCTAGTTCTGCGTTAGGGATGAGAGTGGCTGGGTGACTTTGGGCCAGTTGCTCTCTCTTATCCCAACCCACCACACAACATAGTTGTGGGGGAAACAGGAGAAAGGAATATTAGGTATATTTGCCACCTTGAGTTATTTTATACAAATAATAAAAGCAGGATAAAATAGATAAATAAATACCTTGCAACACACTTAAATAATGCTATAAATTCATTCTAACATGGTATAATTGGCTTTATGGCACAGATTATGGGAGAAAACAAAGTACCCTTACTCACCACCTTCTCAACACGGCTAGGAAGGACTACGCTGGCCAAAGGAATGCTAACAGGGAGTTTATTGGGTTGCACTGTGCTGAGGGGGATACTGATGGGAAGGCTGGTGATCGTCTCCCCATTATTCGCAGACGTCCTCTCGCGCAAAGCCTGCAAACACACAAAGCAGACAATGCCAAAAATGCAGCTTGCGTCATCAGCCAGCGCTTCTGGGCCATGGCTGCAGGCCCGAGTACTTGGTGCAAGGAGGCGTTCTGAAAAATTGCAAGCATTTTTCCCCATCCGTCAAACAAAAAAAATGTTCCTACAGATGCAGACAAAGTCAATTGCATCAGCCAGCCAACATAGACACGCACACCACACAAACAGTTCAAGTTTTACTTAATGATCTAATAGGGAAATATAACCACAACGATGTCTCTCGCCCAACTAAAACACTTACCGTGCCAAGTATTTATACTTAACAGCTGTGTTTGGGATTGCTATGGTGCATGAGGAAATATTTCCATAACCTTGTGTCACTATGGCAAAGTTTGTATAGTAAATTTACAACACAACAGCTAAGTCATATTGCACAAGAGATCGTTCACCTTTTCTCCAAACCTATGCCCTTTAGTTGGGATCACAACCCATTGGCTTTACCAACTGGGAATTACAGAATTGTAGTTCTAACATCACTACAGCAGTGTTTCTCAACCTTGACAATTTTAAGGCATGTGGACTTCAACTCCCAGAATTCCACAGCCAGCATTGCTTTGCTGTGGAATTCTGGGAGTTGAAGTCCACCTTAAAATTATCAAGGTTGAGAAACACTGCACTAGATGGATCCAGGCTGTGGAAGTCTGAGCAAGATATTGATTGCTGATTGAATAATAACAATAACACACATGCAGTGCAGAACACAATTCTAACTCTGATTAGGACACAAGGAGTGAGAATCTAAGTCTGAAGAATATTCCCTACCTTCCATGGCCATAAGGTAACCATATACACGTACAATATACAGTACAAATATAGCAGTCTCTTAGGGCTGCACGTGGTTTGAAAATGATTTCCTCCTTCTGCAGACACAAACACAGCACTTCTTTTTTGCTTTTTAAAGAAGTCCAACTATTTTTTATTTTATTTTGGCTTCTGGGCAAGCCTGAAAAAAAAGATGCTAATGTTTTTAGGAATCCACTTATTAACATTAAGGAAACTCTTATATCTGCACTTTCAAGAATTCTGTGGTGCAGTTTGCAATTAAAAAAGATAGGTACAGTGTAAGTAATTTACAAAAAAAGGATTCTCGAGAATACACTATTATTACAAAAAATAATTTGCAAACTATAGTGTTAATAGGGAATAGCATGCATTTAAAAAAATGCAAAGAGAGTTTGAAAAAAAAAGGATTTGTCAACCAATAAGAAAACAAGAGGGAATAACATTATAGTCCAAAATGAAGAAATTAATATTAGAGTTAGAAAAGAGCAAGTCTGTTAGGTCTATTATGATTACCTGCAAAACCAGACCCAACAATGAATGGCGAACTTGGTTTTAAGGCAGGGGTGTCAAACTCGCAACATCACGTGACATGTTGCGACATATTGTGACTTTGTTGCCATTGCTGGCAATGGGGTGGGTGCAGTTTTGCTATGATGCATCCAGCCCGTGGGCTGGCAGTTTGACACCCGTTTCAAGGGAATTCAGATTCCCACTGATGTGAATTATGGTCAAGAAAATGCAATCATTTCATGTTGTAATTCGCTCAGCTGCTTGATAACAAGATGCATGGCGTATACATTGAATAATAAATTCGATGTATAAATTGAATTTATACATTCAAACAAATAAATTCCGGGATGGAAGACTTATAGTTCGAATGCCGTCAGATAAATGCAAGTGAAGGATGCTGGGAGTTATAATTCATCACCTAATGGAGGAATTGGTTCCTCAGCTATACTATGATTAAAGGAAACCATGGAAGGGACAGGAACTAGATTTGGTATCATGCTGCCCATCACACAGCTGTGTTTTGGAGTTCAGGAATTTATCTCCACCTGTTTCTATAACGGAGCATCTGATTAAAAATAGTTATGCAATCATGTTTACTTTAATTTGCAAACAAATTAAGCCTAATTTTTTAATCAAGCTGATTACAATAAGGTACTCGGTTATGAAGCCCATTTAAACTTGAAGGAGATGCAAAACAAGATGCATTCTCTCCCTCTTCCATACCTCATCGACAATAAACATTGTGCAGATTCTTCAAACATAATTAAGCACAAGACAAATGTATTTCACATTAAGATCTCTAAATATTGGGACTTTAATCTGATCTTTTTACATTTTTTTTCTCCATCTCATTTTGGCCAGGAAAAAAATACTGATCAGACTTGCACAGAACTCAGGTCCAAGAGACTTGGTTTAACAAAGTATTATAAATTTAATAAAGTTGCTTGTTGCACACAATCTATTTGGTCCCAAATTGTATCTAAACCTGAAATTATTAATATAATTAGGCTGTAATTATAAAATTTTAGTTGGAATGAATGTAATCATGATATCAGCTTGAGACATGATGCAACGTTTTCTTCCTTCTCACTGCTATCCCCCCCACACTATTTACTTCATAAGAAGAGTAAACAGCTACAGTACTTGCGTCAATGCACTATTCATAATCTGATTTATTTCTAATTGAGTGTTATTCATAAATATAGTTACAGAAGTATTTGTGTTACTTCAAGATGCTCTAAATAGTCCTCAACTTACAACTGTAATGGAACCGGACCATTATGGTCATAAGTTTTGATGGTGGTAAAGCAGGTCACCTTTGTGACTGACCCTATTTTGTGGTGGTCCCTAAGCAAACACAGTGGTCATAAAGCATATCCATTGTTCTCTATGGAGTATTTTTCTGAGAAACCAGAAGTAAATGCTGGTTTTCAGCAAAACTATTGTAAAATGCAATTATGTGATCACGGGATGCTGCAAAGGCTGTAAATGCAGGCCGGTTGCCGAATGTCTGACATGCATTCATGTGACTATGGGGAGGGGGCTCTCAGAACTTTGGAACTGGGTCCCAAGTACTTTTCTGAGAGTCCACTGTAACTTCAAACCGTCCTAAGTGACCGACCATAAGTCACAGGCTACCTGCATCCAGTTTTTCTATCTTCATTACTCAGTGTTTTTCTCTGTACCCATAAACGTACGACACTAATGTTAATTTTCAAGCCCCAGGAAGCTACCAATTTACAGCAAAAACTACCCATTCAGTCGCTGCTGCTCAGTATAAAAACTACCCCAAGAGATTCAGAGGCATCATCCTACAATTCCTTACCTTTTCATTCCCAGTTGGGAAGGCTGCTGGGGAAGAGGATCTGTCTTCCAGAGGGCTCATCTTCATGCCGTTTGATGCTGAAGGGCTTTGAAATGGAAGGCCATTTTCTTTTAAATGTTCAGCTCTGAAACATAAAAAAGAAAGCTTTTGAAGGCTTCCATTTTGTTAAAAACAATGATGTTGATGTTCTCTCTACAGTGAGAAAGAAATGCAGAGGAAGGCCCTCTTTCATGTGTCAGAAAGATAGGCTTCTGATAGCTTGGCTATCTTCAAAAAGACCTATCTTTCAGATCTTAGTGGATTTTTAAGAAAAGAAATGGTTCATTAGATAATATTTGATACATCAGATAGTAGCTGTTGTGCCTTTTGCAAATTGAAAAAACACTGCAGGCTCAATCCCAAACCAACAGTTATCTATGCACAAAATGGCTGAAGAGATTTGGGGGGGGGGGGGAAATGAGGTATAACTAATTTCAAAGAATGCTATCAGTCACCCTCTCTCTCTTCTATCCACAGAATGCTTTCTGGTTCTCCCGCTGACTATTGAGTACAGCATGTAAGCATGTTTTCCACAAAGAATTAGAATGCAGCTTCCCTCTAAACACAGAGGCATTCTTGATAATAAAAATGAGTCTGGAGGGTACAGCTCTGATTTGCCGCATTTCCCACATTCTTTTACAGTTTCTTCATTCAGCATTCAATTAAAGGTAGCACCCACGAACAGAGTATCCATCCTGCACAGCTATCCAGATTGCCACTGTTACCTCAAAGGTAAATTCCAATCCTAGAGCGTATATATGGTTCATGGTTGTAGCATTGAGAAAGCCAACTTGGTGTAATGCAGGGGAAGGCACCCTTGTCTCTTTTATGACTCGTGGACTTCAACTCCCAGAATTCCTGAGCCAGCATGGCTCAGCTTGGAAACCTCTCCCTTTCCCCTCAGCATGGCTGGCTCAGGAATTCTGGGAGTTGAAGTCCACGAGTCATAAAAGAGCCAAGATTGCCTACCCCTGGTGTAATGGTTAAGGTGTAGGCTTAGAAACCAGGAAACTGTGAGTTCTAGTCCCACCTTAAAACAGGAAACCTAGCTGGATGACCATGGACCAGTCACTCTCTCTCTCAGCCCAACTTACCTCATAGGGTTGTCATTGTGGGGAAAATAGGAGGGGAAAAGAGTCTGTTCAGTGCTTTGAGTTACTTATGAAGTAATAAAGGCAGAATAAAAAGTCTAATAATAAATTCTTGCTGTTCTCTGGGTTTGTTTATTTATTTTCAATCCTACTTTGCTTGTTTTTCTGCAGATGTTTCATTACCACTAACATGATCACTGCATGGGAAAGCGAAGTTTACTGGTTAGTTATTTACAGTAATTGGCGCCTATTCCATGCATGAAAGACAGGTAGAAAATTGGCAGAACGCATTCATAAGCATCAACTGGCAATCAGAAGACATGAAAATTCCATCATCTCTTAACAGAGACAAATTTGGCCACAGTTTCAGCTGGGGAACTGCTGGGTATTTTATATCAAGACAAATTCAAAAATCCTAGGGAATTCTTGGAAGCTTGGCATTCTGACAAAACGGCCATCAACAAACACATAAACAATACATACATATCAATGAAAAGACACAATCAAAAGTTAAGGAAGGAACCAACACCCCCCCACACACACATCCTTCCTAGCAATTGACACCCAGATAAGCGGAAAACAGCACCAGATAAACAATCAGGGAAGAAATAATGTATTAGTCCAGGAACTTTCAAAGAAGAAACCACATCCTAATCAAGATTGGCAGGGCAAGCTACTATATATTAACAACCAGCAAGCTTCACTGTTCCTTGCATTGTCAAAATATCTGCAGGAAAACAATCAAGCTCAGAACACATCAAGAACCCAACAAATATTTTCCAATTCCCCTCCAAAGTGACTGAACCAAGGGAGATTGTTGGAACAAACTGAATTGAAACATAGGAGATAATATAAATGCATACCCTCAAAGCCTCAATTGGTTCATAGCAGGCAGCACCAGAATTAGGGAGGCGTGTGTTCCTTTTTTCATGCACCTAAGCAAACTGTCATTTGAACCAGGATGTACAGGAAGTCCTTGTCTTACAGCAGTTCATTTAGTGACCGTTCAAAGTTACAACAGAACTGAAAACAGTGACTTACAACCATTTTTGACACAGCCATTGCAGCATCTCCGTGGTCATATGATCAAAACTCAGGCTTGACAACTGACTCATATTTATGACAGTTGCAGTGTCCTGGGGGGGGGTGTGTGTCATGTGATCACTTTTTGCAACCTTCTGACAAGCAAAGAAAATGGGGAAGCCGGATTCACTTAACAATCATGTTACTAACTTAACAGCTGCAATGATTCACTTAACTACTATGACAAGAAAAGCTGTAAAATGGGGCAAAATTCACTTAACGACTGTTTCGCGTAGCAACAGAAATTTCAGGTTGAATGGTGGTCGTAAGTCAAGGACTGCCTGCAGTGATCATTCAGTCAAGGTTACCACCTAGGGAGAAACACATGACCTAACCACTCTGCTCCTCACCTCTGATGGCTCTCACTGGGTGCTGTTTTCCCACTGCCTATGTGGTCTTGGTTCAAATGCCTCCGAAGGGCGATCTTAGCCGGAGAAAACCTGGTATAATCCGGCAGGGATAAATTTGAGCCTTTGTCCAGCTTCTGTCTGCAGCTATGGATTGGGGTGCAAGGAATTATGTCTTGGTCCACGTGGGCAGGTGGGTATTGAGGCGTAGTCTGTTTAGAAGCTGGTCGGCTGAGTGCATTGTGAATTTCGTAAGACGTGGCATGGCCATTTATGGACAGTTCAGGGCCATTGACCTGGGGCACGGGAAACTTGGGGCACTCTAGCTCCAAGTGAAGTGTATTGTGGTCAGGCTCGGCCTCCCGGTTCAATTGGTTTTTATGGCGCGGCTGGGCTGGCAACGATTCGTCAGAGGGCATGTAGGATTTCAGCTGCAAAAGTTCCTGCTGCCTCTGGCTTTTCTCAAGCTCCACTATGCTGATCTTTAAAATGATAGGAGAAAGAAGAACATGGTTAAAGCTTATTATCGTAAGTATCTATGGAGATTCTCAATCATCCAGATCACGGTTGTCCCAAAGGTGCTTTTCCAAAAGGCAATAGGATTTGGGGGGGGGGGGTTGTTTCCCCTTGAAAATGTTTCACTTCTCATCCAAGAAGCTTCTTCCATTTTGACTGAATGGTAAGGAATAGAAGGACAGGCCTTCAGGGTGCTAACGAGCAGACGACTACAAAGAATATAAATCCTTCTATTCCCCACCATTCAGTCAGAATGGTGAAGACATTCCTCGGACGAGAAGCGAAACATTTTCAAGGAAAAAAACCCAAGAAAGTCCAGTTGCCTTTTGAAAAGAACCTTTGGGGTTATTATCATAAGATATTTTAGGAATAACAATCCCTTCCATTTTTTGATCCTGAAGCTCCTTTGACTCCTCGAAGAATCCAGCAAACCCTGCCCCATTTTCTTCCATTTAGGAAAGTAAACCATGCTCCTTGTCCAGTATATGCTGAACTGCCCCATTCCTTGGAATCCCCTCTGAAGATAAGGTATAAGTCATGTGAAGCATCTGGTCCCCCACCAGACCACCAAGGAACATTACTAGAACCCGTCGCCCAGTTTTTTCAAAAGGCAACGTTAGAAATCAATTGTAACAAAAGGTATTGCATCCTGTCCATGCGCTACCTGCAATTCCAAGCAGTGTTTTTGCTTCTCAGAAATCTGATTTTTTAATGCTTGCTTTTCTTTGAGAAGATTTTCCAGTGAAAGTGTTGACCAGTCCAACTTCAGTTCTTCACATCTAGCTTTCAGCTGGAAGAATGCAGAAAAAGAGCAGGGAGATAAATTATTTGGGAAATGTTACATAATACTGTCAAAACTAAGCCCTTGTGCCATATAAATCTAAATTATATTTCAGCTCTTGATATAAAATGTGATATATTCCACATTAGATTATCAGTTCCACTGACAGCTTCTTCCATCTGGCTGTCTTAGGTAAAGTCTGCTAGATAAGACCCGAGTGACGGAAAAATTCCAAGAACTTCGCCCTTTTAAAGCACTGTGCTCTGCTACTGATTATAGCTCAGCTGGCTAAAAGTCGTCCAGCTACAGAGTTTGGCTCACAACTACGTATAAAGTTCCACACTAGCCTGTTACATCTAACCCACCATAGTCTGTCTTCAACTGGGGTCAAGTCTCCATGTTCCTGGAATCTCCTAAACGCAAAGCCTATTTTTAAATCACTAATCCCCCGGTCATTTCACAATCTTACAGTTTTTAGAATAGACGCCCAGGGAGGATGATAATCTTAATTAATATTAACGGCAGACAGAACTGGAATTTGTGATTGATTTCAAAATGAGATAAAACTGTGGCCCGATGCATCTAGGAATACGAACCAGTTGTAAACTCTGATTCCTGAGTTCACCATTATCTTTCTCCAGCTGTTTGGTCTGCTCTTTCAGCTGCTGGTTGTGAGCAGAAATTTCTTTCTGGGCCTGGATAAGATCGTTGTATGTCAGTGCCTTAACACCCAGCTGCAAAGAAAAAGGAAGAGAACCGAACAGTTAGAACCACTATTTTTCCAACAACAAAAAGGCAATGATTTTGTTGAATATTAGAAACCCTGTCAGCTTTGTTAGCTTTTTCTCAAGTTTTTTTTTAAACTCATAATAGCGACAGATTATCACATTATTTGATGTATAGTACAATTGAACCAATCGGAAGAACTACAAGTATTCTATCATTGCTTTATTCTCCAAATAATTTACGTCTTTTAGTTAAGCCAGTTACACTAATACATTCTATTGTTTTAAGGACATGTTGCATAGCATTTGCCAATTTTAAATGACTGGCACTGATATTATTTGAGACTGTATACAGTATGAGTTATTTTGAATTACAGAGTTACCATGCATTCAAAACCATAAGTTTTGATCAGCATTTGTTCAATGATTCCTTAGAATCGATTGAATTGTAATTATTATGTACTATTCCAGTGTTTCTCAACCTTGACAATTTTAAGGCATGTGGACTTCAACTCCCAGAATTCCACAGCCAGCATTGCTGGCTGTGGAATTCTGGGAGTTGAAGTCCACATGCCTTAAAATTGTCAAGGTTGAGAAACACTGTACTATTCAGTTTGGTGTAATGGCTAAAAGCACCATTCTAGAAATCAGGGGACTGTGAGTTCTAGTTCTGCCTTAGGCACAAAGCCATTCGGATGACTTCAGGCTACTTCAGCCCTAAAAGAAGGCAACAACAAACCACTTTCCAACATTTGCCAAGCAAACTGAAGGACGTGTCCAGACATTTACCAGGAGTTAAGACTGACTCAAAGATAGCAATGCAACAAAAAGAAACAAAAATTCTGTTTACCCTGCAATAAAATAGAAAAGGCAACTAATACAGTGTCTTGGTATGTATAATGTCTTTGTACTACTGCATTAAGAACTGCCCTTGATTTGTTTTTGCTTTTTTATTTTGCTCAGAACAACAAAATTTGATGTTATAATTTGATGTTATCATTTCCCCTATCAAAAATACGTGAAGACTAAATCACTGGAAAAACACCATCCAGATTAAAAGAGCTCTATCCAAAACTGAGTGATTCCTCAAAGTTATACTCAGTGAAGTCTTAAACTTACTTTGCGCCTACTTCAGGTACTAATTAATTTTCATGGTTTAAATTTTAGCCCATCATTATCACAATTGTTAGACACGTGTTATTAATGAAAGAAAGTCCATAATTACACTCATGCCCCTTGAACGTTGGTAACTGAACTTCTGAAAATGTCCAATTTGTTACGTCCTTTATTTTCAGCTTTGGACCAATTCCCAGTTAGGAATCAACTCTGCCTTTTTCCTTGGCTGAGGTGCAGTTCAAGCTACCTTACAATCCACAGCATTAAAGCACGAAGGACCTTTCCCTTTTGCTCTGTAATATGTACAGTAGCTCATTCCTCACTGTACCTCAGCCACCTAATGAGAAGGAAGGACTCACTGGAGAAGAGCCTGATGCTGGGAAAGATGGAGGGCAATAGAAGAAGGGGACGACAGAGAATGTGGTGGCTGGATGGAGTCACTGAAGCAGTAGGCGTGAACTTAAATGGACTCCAGAAGATGGTAGAGGACAGGAAGGCCTGGAGGAACATTGTCCATGGGGCCGCAATGGGTCAGACACGACTTCACAACTAACAACAACACTGTACCTCATCTAGCTTCTGCTGGAACAGTCGTTTGATTTCTTCTTTCTGAGCCTGGCAGTGAGTAAACAACTGCTGGGCCTTTCCCATTAACTGAGTATTCTTTTCCTAAGGAACAGAAAAGAGAAGGAAACGCCAATACTTCAGAAAGGTAAATACAGGTAGTCCTCGACTTCCAACAGTTTATTTAATGCCTGTTCAAAATTACAGCAGCACCGAAAAAAGTGACACAACCATTTTTCACAGTTACAGCCTTTGCAGCACCCCCATGATTATGGGATCAAAATTCAGATGCTTGGCACCTGGTTCATACTTACGACCACTGCTGTGTCCCAAGGACATGTGGTCAACCTTTGCCACCTTTTGACAAGCAACGTCAATGGGGAAGCCAGTTTCACTGAACAACTGGGTTACTAATTTATTAACTGCAGTGATTCACTTAACAACTGTGGCACGATAGGTCGTAAAATGGGGCAAAACTCACTTAACACATGTCTCACTTAACAACAGACACTTTGGGCTCAATTGTAGTTGTAATTTGAGGATTACCTGTATGTCATTCCTTGAAACATGACCTAACAGTATTACAAGCATATAGATACTATACACTAAGAAGGATCGGAGGGAGACAAATGTAGTAAGATCAGAATCTTAGAAGCAGAATTGAAAAGGACTTTGTAGACCTGATTCTATTGTCAGTTAATTGGCAGTCCTTTTTTTAAAAAAACCTACCTTTTCCTGTTCCAATAACTGCTGAAGAGTTGCCTTATATTGATTTGTTTTCATATAAGCCATGAACTGCATGTACTGGATCTTAAAAGAGTCTGTAAGTGAAGGAGACAGAAAAAAAACCAACATGAACAGCCTGCAAGCAGTATTCATACATCAATCTTTTGTACAACTTCAGCTTGTTTCATCTAAACTAGGAATACACAAATACCAAAATCTACTCTTGGATTACTAAAACTTCACACATTCCAGCTCTTTAATTTAAAATAAAATTTTCATGCTACTATTATTAATCAAATTAGAATCAGAAATTGTCAACAATCTCCTGCTAGTCACTTTGCAATCTATTAGTAGATCCAGATAAGCAATCTGTTGACCTCCGATCTGTTCTCTCCCTCCTTGTATTAAAAATAAACCTTATTTATACACAGAGGCTCTAGTGAAAGAACTTGTTTTTTTTTCCTGCTTTGTCTGGCAACTCCTAAGAGATATGCTGAAAGGTACTTTTCATATTCTGAATTTATCTGGAATAGGAGATAAGAAACAGAGATATGTATGTACTTTCAGTATGTCTGATATGGTCATCATGAATCTTAAACACCCTGCCTTGCAGTGGACATACTAAACAGGCAAAAATCTGACTGGAATCTACAATAGTGCAGCAAGGCTTGATAACTCCTAATAACAAATTTTTTTAAATGACTTCATTAAGTTAAATCCCTAAAACAAAGAAAACCAGATGGAGAGAAACAAAAAATGTTATTTAAAAAAAATAGAATTCGTTTTTTAATATAAAAGGAAATGTACATTCAGCTCAGGAAGTGAAAACAAATTCCAGGATCGGATTTAAGAGGACCTTGTCCTTTTATTCTACAACCAAAGTTGTTTTCCTTCAGAGCTTCAGATGTCTACAATTGAATCTGTCAAATAATTTTGCACCGTTCTCCTTCTGGCAGGCTTCACATTATCTATTTTGGGATATCTTCAGCCACTTTTTCATCCCATTAATTAAGAAGACAAGGCGCAGATTATTTTTTTATAGGTTGTGATGGAGATATGCAAGTGCATGAATTCACCCATGTGGGAAGGGGGATCCTGAAGCTGAGGTGAATCTTCAGAAAGTCTGGCAGGGGTCATAAAGATTTATTTTTAAAAAATAATTAAAACTGTGAGCAAGATCAGAGCACATAGCCTTTCTTTTTACACCTTCAGCAGATGCTGTGTCAAGAAATATGAACTGCCCAACAAAATGGGAGAAGTGCCCTTACCTAGCAGCTTCTGTAGTGCAGGTGGAGTAGGAGTAATCAAGAGCTGGTTGGACGAATGCCGTTGCACTTTAGGAGGTAGCTGGTAAAATGGACTATGAGGTGACCTATATGCATCTGGATGGAAAGAGAATATGGGTCCATTAAGCTTCTTTCTAGTGGAAGGAGTCTATTTGGCAGCCTGGAATTATATGTCCATCATTCCCATTTGATATAATTATTGGCCTGTGACATAAATTCTCCCAGTGTAGTTCAGTTTTAAAAATACATTATAGGCAGTCCCCGACTTACGACCACAACTGAGCCCCAAATTTCCGCTGCTAAGCCAGCTAAGTGACTTGCGCCCCATTTTACGACCTTTTTTGCCACAACTGTTAAGTGAATCACTGCAGTCATTAAGTGAATCACATGGTTGTTAAGTGAATCCAGCTTCGACTTTTGACAGCTTATTGTAAGCCGGTTGGGAAGATTGCAAATGGCGATCAAAGTGACCTCAGGGCAGGGCAACGGCCATAAATACATGCCAATCGCCAAGTGCCCAAATCTTGGTCATGTGACCATGGAGTCGTAAACATGCCAAACGGTCGTAAGCCACTTTTTTGCAGTGCCAGTGTAACTTTGAAAAGTCACTAAATGAATGGTTGTTCGTCGAGGACTACCTGTACTATACCTACATCCAATTGCAGCAAGATAAAAACCAATCAGCAGACTGGTCCTTCCCATCTATGCTCAATTGGGCAAGTACTTTTAAATTTCACAGTCAGTTCAGATATACCATTGAGGTCAAGTTTAACACATGGGCCATTCCCAGCAACTGAATTTCAAACTTACAGCTGCTTCAAATTCAGGAATAACATCTGAACAAAAACAAATTAATGCTACAGGTTCTTAGCACTGGTACATTTTAAGCTAAATTCCATTTGGTATGCTAATTTCCTACCTGGAAGTCTGCATACCAATGGACCATATCCCCATTTATCTTGCAGTAAGATTGTTGATAAAGAGCCTAAGATCGGCCCATATTATAAAATTGTGTTCCTATAAGGCAGACATGTCAAACACAAGGCCCGGGGGCCGGATGCGGCCCGCGACGTGGTTTCATGTGGCCCGCGAAGCCATCCTGGAAACAGTGAGGGAATGGCCCCCGCTGCCTTGGCCCTAACCCAGGCCAGCCAGGAGCCAATGTACAATTTTGTGGTGGTCATTTATGCTGAATTGCATTCAGCCTTAGCTCCACAAGGCCGTCTGGAAACAGCAAGGGACTGGCCCCTGCCGCATCAGTCCTGCCCCCTGGGTGCATGCTGGGGAGGTGTCACCCTTTTGAGGAATGAAGAAATGCACCATCAGCTGGAAGTGGCCAGCAAATGGCCCTTGCCTACTTCACATATCCGTTTTGATGGGTTCCGGGGGAGGGGTTTCAGCAGGCTCTTCCAGTGGACTATGCCTTGGCGCTTGCCCTGGTCCCACCCCCTTCTGCCAGAGACCCTCAGATCTGTCCCACTCCTGCCCAGGCCCCCACAGGCACCCTTGATGCAAATGATGTAGAACTGGCCACGCCCACCCAGTATGCCACACCCACTCCAGCCACACCCACCCAGTAGGCCACGCCCACCCTGGCCAGACCCTCCCCCCCCAAGGACAACCACAATGCTGATGCGGCCCTCAATGAAATTGAGTTTGACACCCCTGCTATAAGGGGATGATGCTGCACCATAGCTTTGAGCAGATGATTTTAAATCAATGTTTCTCAACCTCAGTAACTTTTAACTGTATGGCTGGCTGGGGAATTCTGGGAGTTAAAACTCACTGAGATTGAGAAACATAGGCCTAAAGTGACACAAAGAAGACCTTTTCCAAGGGCATTAGCATTTCCCAGCTGTAAGGCCTACCCTGAGGAGAGGATGAATTTGTTTGTGATACAGTTTGAGCATGGAGAAGGTCCAGCGCAGTTTGGTTCTTCTTGATCTTGCGCTCGGCATTCACCACATTCATTTTCTTGGGGCGCCCACGCTTCCTACCAGCCATTTTCCTTCCCTTTTTGCTCAGCTTCTTCTTGCGTGCTTTGGAGGGAGATGGCTTTTTGACAGTGTTGGCCCCGAGGTTCTTGTCTTCTTCAGCACCATCGTCCTTTAGAAAGAAAGAAAGAGATAAGAAGAGAAAAGGCAACTTTGAGGAAGGAAAAAAAAAAAAAGGTTTTTTCTCCTTATGAAGAAGGATAGTCGAAAAGAACATCCCAAATTCAATCTTTACTACAGGTAGTCCTTGACTTGGGCTTGGGCTCAATTGCAGTCGTAAGTCGAGGATTACTGTACTACCAACAAGCAGAACTATAAATGTTCTCTTTCTGAAGAAGACCCTTCAGAAAGAGCTGCCATCAGTCAGAGGAGAGCAACTAGGCTAGAAGAAAATACCATATTAATAATTGCCTTCCTGTGTAAGCCTATTGTGCCATGGAAGGTTAGTATAACCTTTCATCCCTGAGAGATGTGTGGCTTTTGTTTTTAAAGTAATCTCTAAAGGAATCAGAGGTCAAATAGACAATTCAATATAGGGCTTAGAGTAATTATCTATGAAACAGGGAACTGGGTGGCTTGACCTTTAAATGCAGCCTCTGGATCCATTGGAGTACAAATCCCAATCAATACCCCAATCGATTCTAAGCCTTACCCTTCTGAAGAATATATGATTGGGGAATACTGCTCTAAAGACACGCATAACGATGTTAAATTCCTCCATTCTCCATAGCAGGTACTGTAATATAATAACTCCTAGAGCAGTGATGGCGAACAGAGACCAAGTGCCCAAAAACTGGCCCCGTCCTCACTCTACCTCTCTGCTCCGCCCCTGCTCTGCCCCCCATCCTCCACCCCGCCTGCCCCCAGGGCCACTCACCACCTCCAGGGCCCGCTGCAGATCATCCAGGCAGCCCAGCAGTGCTATGGCGGCCACACCCTCTGCCCGCATCCTGCAGCATAACCTGCATGATGCGGTGTGAGGGCAGAGTCTTGTCTACATTGCCTGGCTGCCATGTCCTTGGCTGCGCTGCTCTGCGTGGGTCACGCTCGGGGGTGACTCTCCTTCAGGGGGGCTGCTGGAGAGGAAGGGGTCACGGGGGGAGGCAAGGCTGGGGCAACGGCACAGAGAAGGCTCCGAGTGCCGCCTCTGGCACCCGTGCCATAGGTTCACCACCACTGTCCTAGAGCTTCAAGTTGGCTGGCAATCAGGGTGTGCTCGCCACAAATACAGGTGGTCCTCGACTTACAGCTGTTCATTTAACAACCATTCAAAGCTACAATGGCAACTTAAAATCGATCCTTGCACTTACGACCGTCACAGCATTCCACAGTCATGTGATCAAAATTCAGAGGCAACACATATTTACAACGACTGAAGCATTCTGGGATCATGCGGTCCCCTTCTGCAACCTTCCCTTTCCGACAAGCAAAGTTGATGTGGGATGCTGGATTCATTTAACAACCATGCAATTCATTTAAGCACTACAGTGATTCACTTGCAACAGTGATGAGAAAAGGTCGTAAAATGAGGTACGACTGACTTAACCACTGCTTTGCTTAGCAACTGTGGTCATAAGTCAAGGACAACCTGTACTGACTTACTGTTCCCCTCACCTATTCTGCCATCACAAATGGTGCCTTCTTCTCCTGTCTCTTTCTAGAGCATTTTATCAACCAAGTCACTATTCTACTGTTGGAACTCTGGAAGAACTGCAATTTCATAGGAATGCCTGCTGTGCTAGGAGGAAGAACCCAGGAGCCATCCCCTGGCTTTCTTACGTCTGAAATTCTGAAGGGTATCATCATTCGCCATTGGCAACACAAAAATGTCTCATACGCCTAAAGCAGTTTTACCATATTTTCAAAATCAGCTCTCACAATTTCAAAAAGACAGCCAGGATAGGAGCCTACTTCTTACAGAAAGCAGATGACACAAGTAGCTATTAACTGAAATTTATCCACTGAAGTTTTAAGAAGAACTGATCTGTATCATTTACCCCCTAATGAAGGTATTACTTTAATGCAGATTCTAGATTCTTGTGTGTGTGTTGTGTGTCTAATTTATATAGATTATCGGTAAATAGTGACATGTAAGGAAGCCTTAATGGAATCATACCTTATTTTCTTGGACTTTTGTTGGAGTTGTTGTGTTACTCTTGTTTTCCCTTTGCTGTCGACGTCTAGCTGCCTCTTGTTCTTCCTGCAGAAAATAAAATAAAGGAAATAGTTGAGTGGGTGAAATACTGTACTGTCCCCCAGATAATCAAGGGCAAGGGCTCTAGATTAGGGGTGTCAAACTCGCCACGTCACGTGACGTGTCATGACATATCGTGACTTTTTCCCCCTTGCCGGAGCTGGGGTGGGTGCGGCTTCCGCATGATGCGTCCGGCCCACAGAGTGGCAGTTTGACACCCCTGCTCTAGATTAACCTCTTACTGTTATTCAAGTATTTTTAAAATAGAAAATTGAATTAAATTGCATTCTTATGATCCACCAACCAATACATTAGTTGCTAATCTTTACCCAATGAAAGTGACAGTCCTAGTCTTCTAAATCCAAAACATCTTAGTATTGTTTAATGAAACGCATGCATCTGTATTCACCAGTTGAAGATGACTTATATGCAAAAGTTATAAAAGTAATACTTTCCTATGTATCATTGCTTTTAAAGAGTTAAAGGCATCTTTGTTTATCTTTCCTCCTGATTTTAAAATGAATGCTCATAATAGTAAAAAAAATATCTGCTAGGTGCAGGCATTTAAAGTATACCTAATTTCATATTCTGCTATTTTACTATGCCTTCACAGAACTGGAACAGCCATACAAGTTGATGCAATTCTATGGACATATAAGGGCTATGTCTACTTCATTATCTTACAGGAAAACAAAGGCTTCCAAAATCAGAAGGGGTAACATTTAATGCTTTCATTATTTTCTACTTTGCAGGAATAAGGTTTGCTGACAATAACAATAACTTACCCTGAGTTTTGGATTTTTGAGACTAGAGAAGTAGTTTTCAAGCTGAAATGAAAAACAAAAATGAAAATGACAAATGGGCATCAGAAGAAACATTTTAGAGGTTTATAATGCATTTCAGCAAAGAGATAAAAAATAGTGGATATGTACTTAGAAATCAAAAGCCTCCCATACGTATTTTTTCCCAGCTTTCTAAAGAATACTTACAAGAAAACAACAATAAAATTTCATGCTAAGCCAATCAAGTGTAATTAGGCAAAGGGTTCTTTTTAAATGATACTTGGCTTTTTAGGAATGTAAATTATGAAATCTTTTATTCACTTAGGATACCAGGCTAATTACTTTAGAAAACAAAACTTGCCATGGCACCTGTACTGCTGGAATATACCAGCGGGGAGAGACTGGTCCTTCAAATAACGAGGTACAATGCCACTTAGGGCTTTACAGATAATAACCAACATCTTGAACTGGACTAGGAAATCGATTGGCATTCAGTGCAGCTTGTATCAATACTCACTATGGTTCGATCAATAGTATGCAGGTAGTAAGAAACTGGTTTCCCGGTCCATGAGACAGATCCTTTTAGTGGTGACAATTCTACAACTCTCATTATAGTGCCAATATCTTTGAAAGAAAGAAAGAAAAGCTGAACAGAATTAGGAAGCTTTCTACTGTAATTAGATTATGCAATTACATGTAGATGTAATTAGATTTTGTAAAGGCAGCTATATTAGGTCACTGCAGCGAAACCACCAGCACAAGCTAGGTATGCTTAACTCTAATATGTGGGAGTAGAATCATTGGAGTGAAAAAAGCAGTTATATACAATAGCAACCAATTGTATCTAAATTTAGATGCAGCAAAACCCAAAGGGGGCAATCACATATCCCAGGTTAGGATTGAAAGAACTGAAAGGATGGAGAGCGGGCCCAGGGGTGCTCATGCAAGTCCCCCCCATGCCCCAATCCTGTCAGATCTCTGCATTCAACAGGAAGGACTGAAGTGAGTTTGTATTTGTGTTCACCTAACTCCCACCTAGTGAAGAATGTTGCTTTATTCCTAATTACACAGAAGCCTTTTTCTTGTGCTCCAAGTATATAAAAGCCTTCTTCAGACCTCACTCATAAGCACATGAAGTTTAGGATAGGTTCACTGGGGAAGGAAGGAGGAACAAGTTTTGCAAACATGCTTAGAGTCCAAAACACCTAGAGGGCATAGGTGGAGTGCTTAAGATGCTACCCTAGAAACAGGAGACTCTGAGTTCTAGTCCCACCTTAGATATGAAAGCCAGCTAGGTGACTTTGGGCCAATCAGCAGGAGATTTTGAGTTCTAGTCCCAACTTAGGCATGGGTGACTTTGGGCCAGTTGCTCTCTCTCAGCCCAAGTCATCTCACAGGGTTATTGTGGGGAAAATAGGAGGAGGGAGGAATATTAGGAATGTTTGCCACCTCGAGTTACTTATAAAGTACTAAAGGAGGGATAAAAATCTAATAAATAAATAAATAAAGCACTAAATAGCACTTTAAAAAGTTCACAACTGCGCCTATTGTTTTGCTTCTCAATGCGCAGCTTAAAACACAACAAAATATATAAGAAAACTTACCACTCAAGTTTCTGCTGTTTATTCTAAAGTTTAATGGTGCAAAAGGTTTTGAGGATACTATCTGACCACCTGGAAAAAAAAAAGTTATGCTACAGGTTAATTTCCCTTAGCAGTGACAAGTTAGAAAAAAATGTGTGAATTTATCACAATGAATGTGATTCAGTGAAAATTTTTCGTACATTAGGAGGACCGCAATTTAATTGCTTTGGCTCCTTAAGACAGGAAAGGGTTGTCAGGCTTTACTATTTGAAGCTGGAGGATTGAGGGGCAAAATCTGAGGTTTGATATAGATATATATCAAATTTCAGGGAGAAATTTTCCATTTTCCTTTAATCTCCTCCCCAAATCTCCAACAATACAGAGCAAAAAAGGCATTGGGGGGGGGGAGGGAAGGGAGTAACAGGGGGTGCATATGGTCTATGGCCTAACCAGCTCAAGATTAAGAAAAATATAGGAAACATTCATAAAATAGCTGGATTATAACAGTGATATGACTGTTGGATGCTAGGACACAAGAGACAAAGCTAAACCTCTGGATGAATTATAGCTCAGATAACGGCTTGGAAATTTTCATGTACCCAAATGGCCACAATGTATGGCTTAATGCCTGAATACATTACCATATGTATACTTTATTAGCCATGCATATATTTTTCCCTCAATTCCTCTAACTGCATGTTATGATTCAACACAACATTTAATGCCTCTGGTGAAAGGGGTGGACTGCACTCATAGGCTACAGCCAGTGAAAAGTTAAGCCATAAAAGAATTTAGTCTAAAAGGTGCTACATGACTTTTCATTGTTTCGCCTAACAGATGAGTAAAATGGTTAAATAGGGATAATTACTCAGCCATTTGTAATCCCTATTAAGTACAAGTCTTAACAGCACTACATCTGTAAGGAAACCAGCTCAGCAGCTTTACTGTGAATCTGCCTTTCAGAAACTTTTTGGTTTATGCCGAGAATTGGGGGAACGTTCAAGAGTTCTTGATGGCTTAACAAAGGAATAGCCTAATGAAAGGGAACAGCTAGCTATAAAATAGCTCCAAAGGCCACACCCAAGAGGATTCGAATACAGGGCAGCTCCCTGGCAGGTGAAGTAAAAAAAAGCTTTATTTAGAATAAGCAGCAGAGAAGAAATTGAATAGCTCTAGCACTGTGCAATGGATCCCATTTCAAGAACAGATGCCAAATCTCTCCTTGGCAATTAAAATAAATTATAAGGTAAGGCAAACCTAAGTCAGGTTTCTGGCTAAGGATGAAGACCAGAGTGTTCGTTCCAAGAGTAGTACTTAAAAGCTGCCCTAATAGATCAGATCAAGCTTATTTAATTTAATAACTTCCTCTTGCCAAACTGAGAGGCCTCTCACTCGCTTGCCTGAACGCCTTGTTCTTCATCAAAGCTGCAGATGGCCAATAAGGTTACCAGGCTCAGGTGCAAAATGCAAACATAGCCAAGAGAGATTACTCTTAATGCTTTTAATGTAAAGGGAGCTCTACTGTATAAAGATGGCAAATAAATCGGCCATTGTCACAGTCTCAAGGTTCTGAACAATTATTGATTACTACCCACAACCCTCACTGTAGAGAAAATAACATATATATATATACAGTAGCCTATGCCAACAGAAGAGAATATTTGTAACTCAGAGTTGAACTACGGGGTCCTTGGTGCTCTCTGAGCTTGGCTGTTTTCTTGTACTTGTATATAAACAGAGAGCAAACCCCACTTCCTTCTGCCACTGATGATGTCATCTAGTTGAGTAATGTCTACAAGAATACAACCAAGTTCAGAGAGTACCAAGGACCCCACAATAATCTAGCTGAAAGCATGCTGGCACATGAGTTCTTAAATGGGCACTCATAGTTCTGGGTGCTCACGAACGTACCAAAGGGCTTTGTAGCTGGCATTAAACAAAACTGCTCTGGTTTGTTTTCATAGGGATTTGAGGAACTCTAAAATTTGTGGTTATAGATGCTACATGATGCTAAAGAGAAGGTTATAGCACAGAGTTCTTCATAGAGCTTTAAGGTTTCTCTTAGAGCAGGGGTCCTCAACCTTGGCATTTTTAAGACCTGTGGACAGCAAAGCTGGCTGAGGAATTCTGGGAGTTGAAATCCACCAGTCTTAAAGTTGCCAAGGTTGGAGACCCCTGTCTTAGAGAAAGCAAAGTAGTTTACATGAGTTTCAAGATCAAATGATATTATTGCTTCAAGGTAACACGTCAAAAGCCCAAGGCTTTGTTCAATGAAATGAGGGAGGGAGAAGGATAGGGCCAGTAAAAATAACATGTAAAAAGTATTTGTTAAGGGGGAGAATGCTCAGAAGTTCAGAGCCTAAAATTACGTAATTGCATTATTGAATATATTCAGAAGATATAAAGAATATGAAATCCCTGATATTACTAATACTGATTGCTTCCATGCGGCCACCTGTCCAGTCCCCTACCCCCGACTGCAGAGCAGATCAGAATCAGCAATGCAAAAGAAACCTGCTCAGCGGCTAACGAGAGAAAAATCCAACCGGCTCACGCAGGAACCTGTCACCCAGATTACACCCCCCCACACACAGGAGGACACCGGGACTCCGGGTGGACCCGCCCCTGCTCTACCCTCCTTTGACAGCGACGATGGAGAGAACAACCCGATGGTAAGTCGACAAATCCTGCCTTTTTCACTGACCGCCAAATTTATAATCCCTAAGTCTGAGGCACAAATGGACTTAAACATGCTAATTGATTCTGGATGCACCTGCTGCATTATTACTCTGCCATTTGCCATGAAAATGGGCATACAGGCAAAACAGCTTCCAAACCGGTGAGGTTTGAGCATACGAGATAACTGAGGGAGTTTACAGTCTTAGAAGAGACAAAGGCAAGAAAAGATAAATAAAAGACATCAGCTCTAGGAAGCAACATTTGAAACTAAAGGCACAGTCAGTTTATATAAACCTCATGGTTACAATCATGAATCAAAAAGAAAAAAATCCATACCTGGTAGCTACATTCAGCTTGGTTTTGCTATGTGTGTGTGTGTGTGTGTGTGTGTGTGTGTGTGTGTGTATTTAACTCAAGAAAGTCTTGATAAAAGAATATTAGATTTATTACCTTCCTTCATATTTGCGAATCGCTCCTTCAACTGGTGATCCACTTCAGGACCAAAAGCAAAGTTATTCACAAAAATAACACTGCAAAGTAATAAGTGTGTTAGTAAACAAGGAAAAACATTTTGGCTTCCCATTAAGGCTTAAAAAAAGATTTCTAATGAGAGGGATATTTACTTCTTACAAAATTTAACTAACTATACCAAGTAAAGCCAGAAAAACTTACAAAGTATTCTTTTATTTGTAAAAGAACTGAATACAGGAAGTCTTTGACTTATGACCATAATGGAGCCTGCCCATCGTGGATGTGAGTCACAAAAATTATAAAACTGATTGGTCACATGACACTCCTGATTGTACAACCTTTTTTTGCAGCAGTAATTAAGTAAGCCCTGTGATTGTTAAGTGAACCAATAGTTTGCTATGGGAACAGTTTTGTGAAAACAAAGAGGTGCTTCTCAGCAAAACTGTTCTAAAAGAGTCATGTGACTGCAGGATATCCAAATGGCAGTGAATAAAATTCACCTTGCCAAGCACCCAAAGTTCAGTCACGTATTTGGGGGGGGCGGTGTCGCCCCCGACTGTCTGGGTCATAAGTAGTCCCAAGCTAGATCTATGATAACGTTGGTCAAAAGTCAAGGACTATCTTAAATCACATACGGCTTTTAATAAAATGCCTTGCATGACAACTGTGCAGCATAAAAAGGGTACTGTAATAGCAATTAATTATGTGCCAGTGTACAATTCTATTTTATTCTAAATTTCAGGAAGGAGAAGAACTAGAATGAAAGCAAACAAACTTCAAGAAACTATGTAGTTTCCCTAATTTTCTGGAGCTTTTTTTTCTAGAGTTCCACCAACTGAAATTTGGTACAAAACAAATTCAAGTCAATTAAAGAATTCTAAGCCCAGATTTTGGTTTGAATATCAGAACTGAAAATGAAGCCCACAGAATCTTCTACATAAATATGCAAACCAAGTTTCCCTAAGTATTTTTAATTCCAACAGTATATCTAAGAATGGAGGTCTTTTTGCCATTTTGCTGCTGTTGTTAAGTATTTGAGAAATATAAATCCTTTTTTAATCATATTATAATCCCTTCTGAGATCTATCAACAGATCTGGATTCACATTTTGTCCAACCCTGTACTAGAATTCAGATTATTTACTATTCCCTGACCTATACTGAAAGAAATCTTTCCAAAAAAATAAACAGACTAAGGCCTCATTCCCTTTTTTAGCAGTGAGAGGGTTTTTTTTTTTCTTCTTCAGAAAAAGTATTTGTGTTCAAATACTCCACAGAACTTATACTAACTAAATGGAAACTAATGTTTGAGAGATCATTGGAGTTTGGCACATTGGAATGACACAACCTTCCAAGAGCAGAATTCCTCCATCCTATCTAAGGTCTAAAAGTGTTTGCCTGCATAGGCAGAAGAATTTATTTATTTATCAAATTTAGAGACCACCCACCACATCCTCAGAGCAACTCTGGGTGGTGTACAATTAAAAATGCTTAAAGAATGGGCTGAGAGAATTTTTCAGAAAAGAGGGCCTCTCTGTAATGGCACAATGGTTACAATGCTATATTTCAGGCTAACTCTGCTCACTGCCAGGAGTTTGATCCTGACTGGCTCAAGGTTGACTCAGCCCTCCATCCTTCCAAGGCCGGTAAAATAAGGACCCAGATTGTTGGGGGCAATAGGCTGACTCTGTAAACTGTTTAGAGAGGGCTATAAAACATTGTGAAGCAGTATATAAATCTAAGTGCTATTGCTCTGAAGCTATATTGTGGCAATAATGAACCCATTGAACAGCAATGTATATCCTTTGGCTTCATTTAGTTTTGTAAATAAACATATAAAGATAGCAAAGTCAAGGGATCATTTAGGCTATTTAATCCAACCCCGCTTAGAGCAAAAGTCCAAATTAAAGCATTCCCAACAGATAAATGATTAGCCAACGCTTGGACATATCCATTAAAGGCATAGATGTCTACCACCTCCCTGGGGAATTGACTCCAAAACCATGAAAGCTGTGCTTAAATTCTACACTGTTTTCCCATACAGAATATCCTCAATCCCAGTGAATACTGTCCTTAAAATTCCAAGAAATAAGGAACAATGTTCATATTATTTGCTAACAAATCAAAGGAGCAGAAGGGATACTGAATAGCAATCCTCAAAATGGGAGACAAGACTAACTTTTTATCAAACAATTTTATATTTATGATGGCAGCCCCGGAAGCCCAGGTTAAAATTGTACCTTGTGTTTGCGATTCTTTCTCGCCATTCTTCTGAGAGGAAATCACCTCTTTCCAGCTAAAAATAAATTAAAGAAAAAAGGAGCTTGAAATTCAAATTTAAACTAAGTCACTTTTTAGATGTCTAATCCAAACATATCTATTACAACACAGAATAGGGAAGGAGAATCTATGCTTTTTATTGTTGAATGTTAAGGCATGAAAAACATGGTGGGAAACAGAACATAATCCATTTGCAAAGTTCATTTGTGATTCTAATATAACCAGTTACTTGTTTCAAGAGAAGACTAAGCCTATGTAAACCCAAAGGACATACAAGGCTGTTTTTTTTTTTTTTCCAACATTAAAAACACACAAGCAATTGCACAAGCTATAATTATTAGACAAGGAATGAAGTAGATGCTTAAACCTTTTCCTCCATTCCAAATTCTCATTTCCCCATCCTACCTTCTGACCCAACAGGGAAAAGACTTCCGAACAGGTGAAAGAGTTAAACAGCCGCCAACTGCATTTTAGGTAATTTTACCATTAATTTACCATTACCTAAAACAGGTACTGAGAATCCGAGCACAGATATGGGGCCCAGACATAGGATAATAGTACTCTGTGATTTATATGCTGTGTAAATCAAACAGTTGTGAGAACAGCCACACAAGAGAAAAGGTTTGGCACATCAACTTTTTAATCATGGTCAACAATACACAGTATGCCAAAACAGAAATAACCAACCTTTTAACTAGAGGATCCAGGCCAGTTACTGCTACTTATTTCAAAATCAAGAAGAGTTTGATAGTTTTCTGATTATGGGTAGTCCTCAATTTACGACCATAATTAAGCCCAGAATTACAGTTGCATGCTATGGCATTCATTAAGTGCTTACCACGCGACTGCACCTGACTTTATGATCCTTTTTGCAGTAGTCATTAAGTGAAAATCTTGGTTGTTAAATGAACCTGTTTTCCCCAATGGACGTTTTTGTCAGAAACCAGAAGTAAAGGTCAGAAATTGGCAAAAAATAAATTTTAAAAATGCCAAAAAACATAGTCACCTGACTAGGGGATGCTGCAAATGGCTCTAAATGCAAGCCGGTTATCAAGTGCCCAAAATGTGATTATGAAACCATGGTGTGTGTCTGTGTGTGTGTGTGTGTGTGTGTGTGTGTGTGTGTGTGTGTGTGTAAAATGGGTCATAAGTAACTCTAAAGAGGTCCGTCGTAATTTCAAACAGCTGCTAAACGACTGGTCATTAAGCGAAGACTATTGTAACAAATTTTATTAAAAGATTCTACCGGACTCCTGACTTTTTTACAGCCAGAAACTAACCCGTGTCTCCTACAATACTGTTTAGTGAAACATTCAGCAAGTGTTTTCGAATTCAGCAGGACTATTCTAAACTTAGCAAAAGTTTTTGATTCAGGTTTCTATACATATGCCAATGCCAGGCCTACCTACCGAAGACTAAGGGAATTAAATTCATGGCAACCAAAGACCAGAATCCAGCCAAAGGGGCAGCTCGGATCCCAAGTAGAAACACTAAAAACGACATTATGACTAGAGGACTAATCACATTAAGAAACCGGTACCTTTCCAAAAAAGACTGCTTTTCTGGAGTTTAAGAGCTCAAAAATAAATTTGAGAAAAGAAATCTACCCACAGCAAATGTATCACACCCTCACAGTAGGAAGAACCAAGACCTGGCTGGCTGCCTATGTATATATAATACCACACACACACACACAAACACACACACACAGTTTCATTCCAACAGCCACTGTTTAATACACTTGGCTCACAAAGAATTGTTCTGCCTGGAAAAGCACACGCAGCTATTTTTAAAATAATAATAATAAAAAAAGAAAACTGCTAAACATGGCTCTGTTTCAAAACCACAGGAAGGACTGGAGGGTTTTTCAAATATCTGAGCGGGCTGAAGTTCCCACTGAAAAATGGGCGGTAAATATATTCATCCAGAAACAAGTAAATATTGTGCTGGGGGGGGGTGTGTGTGGCAAAAGAGTAGATCTGTTAAACAGTCCTTGCACAGGGTAGATGAGCAGAGAGAAAGCTATGATGTTGCTATTAACTGGGGGGGGAAACAAGTGAGAAACAAAAAGAAAGGGGATGGGGATTTTAATTGTTTTTATTTTTTTAAAAAATTGTTTGCTGCCTGGAGTCAGTTGGGGAGGTAGGTGGCGATGGCTGGCTGGCTGGCTGGGCTGGGCTGGGCTGGGCTGGGCTGGGCTGGGCTGAGCTGGGCTGGGCTGGGCTGGGCTGGGCTGGGCTGGGAAGGGAAGGGAAGGGAAGGGAAGGAGGGAGGGAGGAAGGAAGGAAGGAAGGAAGGAAGGAAGGAAGGAAGGAAGGAAGGAAGGAAGGAAGGAAGGAAAAGGAAGGAAGGAAGGAAGGAAGGAAGGAAGGAAGGAAGGAAGGAAGGAAGGAAGGAAGGAAGGAAGGAAGGAAGGAAGGAATTACCCATTTTGGGTAATTCTCTTCTTAACCCGGATAAAAGGGTTTTATAATTCACTTGACTTATCTTTCTATGTCTATGTGATTTCTAAGAGACTTGATGGCACATAATCTCACTTGACTTTTTTCCTGACAGCCTCATTTACTTTTTTCATTATTTTTCACTCAACAAGAAACCAAAAAAGTAGGAGTAGACATAATGGCCTGTTCATATATAATACAGCTAAGCAATTTTTTTTCCCCAGGCCTTGGAGACAGCTGCCTTGAGCATTAATGTGTCATTTTTTGAATTAGCATGATGTATGAGCAATGGCTTGTTCAACACTTTAAAATTCCTGGCTAATGATTGTACAAAGAGACATTAAACCCAATCATCTCCCTGATCCAAGCATTTTAAGGCAAAATTATAACCTACCGGCTGATCATACATTTTATGCAAATTGTGCCATTTTATTAAGTCCATCTCTATTTCTTTTTAATGACTTGGAACATAACTTATTAGGAAAATTGAGAGGGAAAAATGACACATGGAAAGCATTCAGGGAAGGGAGACATGACTTCTTTAAGAAAAAGATTCTAAAAACAGCTCTCAGATCTAAGTGGTTTCATACCAATACACCCAGAGGTACCTGCAGAGCTTCCCACCTATGGGGATACTTCCCGGCCATCAGCTTACATGAATTACAACCAGGAGTTTTGAGTCTTAACTCAAAGCACAAGAAGAAATTCCCAGACAGTATATCAATGCTAAACTCTAAATCATCTGTCTAGGCAAGAAAAACCAAATGTACAGGTATAGCATAGGGAGTACCTTGCTCAATAGTAGTAAGTGTAAGAGGGACTTCGGAGTCCTAGTGGACAATCACTTAAATAAGAGCCAGCAGTGTGCTGCAGCTGCCAAAAAGGCCAACACAGTGCTAGGCTGCATGAAGAGAGGGATAGAATCAAGATCATGTGAAGTATTAATACCACTTTACAATGCCTTGATAAGGCCTCACTTGGAAAACTGCATCCAGTTTTGGTCACCGCGATGTAAAAAAGATGTTGAGACTCTAGAAAGAGTGCAGAGAAGAGCAACAAAGATGATCAGGGGACTGGAGGCTAAAACATATAAGGAACGGCTGCTGGAATTGGGTATGTCTAGTTTAATGAAGAGAAGGAAGAGGGGGGACATGATAGCAATGTTCCAATATCTCAGGGGTTGCCACAAAAAAGAGGGAGTCAAGCTATTCTCCAAAGCACCTGAAGGCAGGACAAGAAGCAATGGATGGAAACTAATCAAGGAGAGAAGCAATCTAGAACTAAGGAGAAACTTCCTGACAGTTAGAACAATTAACCAGTGGAACAACCTGCTTCCAGAAGCAGTGAATGCTCCAACACTGGACATTTTTAAGAAGAGACTGGACAGCCATTTGTCCGAAATGGTATAGGGTTTCCTGCCTGAGCAGGGGGTTGGACTAGATCAATGGTTCTCAACCTGTGGGTCGGGACCCCATTTGGGGTCGAACGACCATTTCACGGGGGTCGCCAAACGCAGTCCGCCATTTTTTTCCCCCCTTTTCCTTAGCTGTGCTACTCCCTTTTATTCTGTTGGCTTTTGAAAGCCAATAGAATAGACTCTCTTGAATACAGTCTAATTCTATTGGCTTTCAAAAGCCAATAGGAATTGTGCAGGCTGTCTCTGCCCTGCTGAGCCCGCCAAAAGTCCCATTCTGCAAACGGTGCTGCACCAGTTGAGTAGTCCTCGACTTACGACCGGTTGGGGGTCGCGGCATTAAAAAGGTTGAGAACCACTGGACTAGATGACCTCCAACTTTTTTAAAATAATAATAATAATAATAATAATAATAATAATAATAATAATAATAATTATTATTATTATTATTATTATTATTATTATTATTATTATTATTATTATTAAACAGTGTTTCTCAACCTTGGTAATTTCAAGATGTGTAGACTACCAGAATTCTAGAATCTGGGAGTTGAAGTCCACACATCTTAAAGTTGTAAAATTTGAGAAACACTGGTCTAAATTGTAAAGGAAGTAGTTCTCTTTTATTACATATTCAAAGACAAAGTTTACAAAGGTCAGAACAGTACTATCTCCTCTGAGCTCTTGGCTCAATGGCCATATTTGTACATCATTTCCTGGTCCATGGTGAAGACGTTTTTTCAGGGTGAGAGCTGCATTTGGGTTTTGATGGACAAGCCATAAGCCACAAGTCAAAACTTAGATGAGTCCAGACAAAAAAAGAAACGTAACTTGACTTTAATTAAAGAGCACACAAGTTGCCTAAACTGGCAAATGGTTAATTCATATTCTGGTTTAATTAAAGTTTTCTTCATCACCAAAAGGACTAGAGCTCCTTTGACTTTTCAGACCGAATTTAATTTTAATCTGTAACTGGCTGCAGAGGTAATTCTCAGAAACTCCTACACTAAAATAAAATGTCATTATCCACATTAGGGTTAGAGAAAGAAGGTTTGCTTGGTTTTAAAAGGAACTTTGTGGTTTAGTTTCACTCACTGTGTAATCTGCATGTTTTTTCCCATACCATTTCATCCACTTTCTGAATTCTTTGTCCATTGTCTTGAAAGGGTGGTAGAAAGAAAAAGAAAGAAAAAAGAGATTATTATTGAAAAAAAATCCAGAGACTACGTTTCCACAAATAGAATAAAACAGTAACTATGAGAGTGTCTAATGAGACTGCTACAGTACACAAAGTTGCATTGCCATTAACATAATATTTCAGGATGTGGAAGATAGCTGAATTTAATCTTAACTTTACAGCAGCAAAACATGTTGAACAGGTTTTGGGTTTACCACTTGAGAAATTCAAGACTTCTAGTGTCTTTCACAGAGTAGCAGCCTACTTGGCACAAGGAAACCTATAGGTTTTTCTTTGAAGATGTTTCACTTCTCATCCAAGAAGCTTCTTCAGCTCTAACTGGATGGCGGGGAATGCAAGGATTTATATTCCTTGCAGACAGCTGGTCATTTGCATTCTTGGAAGTTAGTCTGTGTCCCCTTTTTCTACTCTTGGGGACACCGTTTATTTAACAGTCACCACAGGCTATAAAACCGAGCATCTAAGCCAGTGTTTTTCAGCCTCAGTGGACTTCAACTCCCAGAATTCCCCAACCAGCATGCTAACTCGAATATTCTGCGAATTGAAATCAACACATCTTAAAGTTGCTGAGGCTGATCTAAGCACTGGATGTTGAAGGTGGTGTTTTTCAAAATGGTATATAATCACTCTGGCCAGATTTCTAACCTATATTACAATTAACCCAAAGTACTATGTTACCTCAGCGTATTTGGCCGGAATATCAGCTTTCTCCACACCATAGTGATGCTTGCAGTTTGTAGCTGCAGCCACCTGGAGCACAACTTGACCAACACCTAAAAGAAGACAACAGGACTACAGTTAGGAGGACTGCCATAATATCACAAAAGAAGCTAAATTTGGAGTAAGAAGTTTACATAAGAACTGCAAGGATATTAGTGAACTTCTAAACATGTTATTTTCTATATCAGAATGTATGTCAGAAAGTGGACTGATTGAAACAATCAATACTTGGCTCACAAAGTCCAGAATTTTTCTTAAAGCTGCACGTTTGAAATGCAGATTAACATAAAGAACTAGGTTTCAATGCCAAAACCAACTCTTTAATCTGAGACTGAAACAAAAATGGTCACCAGTATTGCTGACATAAGACAAAAATGAAACATTTCAGGCTCTATATGTCAGAAAGATCTCTGGCTGTCAGATTCTCAGTCCACTGAAGTTTCCAGAGCTGTTTTCAAAACAGCACTGCAACAGTCTAGAATAATTAAAGCCAAGATTGTTCACTCTCAACCCAGCCAACCTCACAGGGTTATTGTATGGAAAATAGGAGGAGGAAGGTGTGTTGGATATGTTTACCTCGAGTTATTTGTAAAAATAATAAAGGCAGGATACAAATAAATAGATAAATAAATAAACCAACTATAACCTTTCCTGGCTTGCGGTCTGGAGGGGAGAGCAGCTTCCAAATTACTGCATGTGCGCATGCATGCACGCACGCACGCAAATAGGGCCATGCCCATTGGTGCAGCACTAGCAGCCATGTTCACGCATGTGTAAACAGCTGCGCACCCACGGCAGCTAGCGCCCGTTCGTGCATGTGCAAATGGGCTGCACACACACAAATCCCCACGCTAGCAGTCCATTTGCACATGCACAAAGGGGGCGCGCCCCCCCATGCTAGTGTTCCCGTTCACGCCTGTGCGCATGTGCAAACAGGGCCGTAGGCGCTTGCGCGAGTGGGGGGGAATGTGTGCCCACGTGTGTGTGCCTTGGCCAGCCATTTCTGCGGCCCACTGGCCAAGAGCCCACAGCACAGTACCAGGCCGCGGCCCAAAGGTTGATCCCTGCTCTAGATGAATCCAACAACTTGAGTTTGCCTAGTAGTTTTTTTTTCCCATTTTTTTCCCATTTCCTCTCAGTTTCACTATTGGTTTGCTATAAGGCACAGGGAACTGCTCTTCAACAGAGGAAAGTTCAGCCCCTCCCTAGTTACCCACAACAGCCATCCACTGTCTGTTTTTCCTGGGGTAAATAATAGCTAACCAGGGAGGAGGTGGGTGAATCCAGTGACAGGGTCATAGAAATACTATTAGCTGCATTAACTGAAGTTCCTGCTTCTCCAACTACTAAATTCCATTTAAGTGAATTTTATGCTCTTGTTTTTAGTGAAAATCGGCAACACTATTTTAAAATTGGCAATTACAAGAAATATTAAACGTAGGTCTTTTTCAAATCAAATGAAGCCGAACACATCTTGGAAGCACAGGAACACATAAGACGAATATAGTATTGGAACCACCTAGAGATTTAAATAGAAGTACTAGATGTTAAGGCAAAAATAAATTCACATGGCTAAAACTACACATGCTGGAGGCATAATATCACAACAATTGGCTGGCCAGAGTTGATGTCACATGCTATTATTTTTCTTTAAACACAGACACACAGACACAGACACACACCTCGATTCCCACACTTTCTAGTTACCTCCTCATTTTGTGGTTCTCAGGAACCTAGTTGGACACCTATGATGTCAATTGCCAAAATTATGATCTATTTCCATCAAGTCAAAATTGGAAAACCGCTATGGTTTCCAATTCCAGTCACCAAGCTTTGCATTACAGTAAATAGAATTTCCAACTTGGTACTATCTATTGGAAGCCAACACTGCAGCTCACCAAGACATTAAGTAAGCAAATGCCAAAGAACATCATTTGTCAGTGAACAAAACATGAATTTCAAGCTACGGTTTGGTTATTCACAAAACATATAACAGTTCTGCTTGAACTATTTTGAGTTGAGAACCGGATAGTGAACACTCACCACTGCCTAAGTCTACAAAAAGGTCATCTTCGGTCATTTTTATTTCATCTATCATCTGGGCCACCAAGTCAAAAGAAGTCTCTCCATACACTTCTGGGGAAAAGGGTTCATAGTTGTTGAGTTTTTCTGGGTCCGTCACTGAGTGGTTATATACTTGCTGTAGGATATGGCGCAGAAGCCCATTGGAAGGGCGGGTATTCAGTTTCATGGGCTGGGTGGTTCCTTTCCACTGAAGAATGAAACAAGAAACCCATCACAATTTGTTCCTTATAGCAAAAACACCTTTTAAAGCACAAACACCTTTTAAAACTCTCAACGCTTGTTCACAACACCAACAGCACCAAGAACATTCTTTGAGTAAGAAGAGGTAGGCTGGAAAAGTTAACGTGACTGTGTAAATCCTTCACTGTGTGAGCTATGTTGCCTTGATTTCTCAATATACAAACATCTGCCATGTTACTAGACTTACCATATAAACATTAACCATAGTATAGTCAACTTACATCTAACCCACTTTAAATAAGTAAAGCATGTGTGCTACCAAAATTCTAACAAAGTGCACTGTTGGCAGTAATGGACATCTTATACATCATGGTCTGTGCTTTCTAAACAGTAGACAAATTATAGTTTGCGGCTTGTTTTTTCCTTTGCTCAGCATTCCTGAGCTGAGCAACATTCTATGTTGGCCAACATGTTGCTTTTGAAAAGCATATAAACAAAGCCTGAAAAGCAACAGGCTTTCTTTATCATGCATGCATGTAGCTACTGATATTCAAAGACAGGCTGTCTCTAAAATCACAGATTCCCTACAATCTTTATGGCTAACTGTCATTGATCAATCTTTCCTCCTCTATGCAGTAGACATATAAGATAATGGCTGCTATATTTCACTATGAATTTGATGTCTCAAATCAGCTTGACAGGTTTGGTTTTTGTTCTAACTTTATCAAACTGTAGGCAAAACTATAGGCAAAGGTCTTCGTGATTACCGGTATCATTTTCCTCCTGGGGAGACCCAAGTTCAAATCCCCACACCATTTTGAAGTTCACCTGCCATTCTGGTTCTCAATTTAAGGTGTTTCACAATGTTTTTTAAGGCAAAATGGGGAAAGGGTAGAAGAAAAAAGATTAACTAAGTATTATACTTGGTCCTCTACAGGAAAGGTAGTATAAATATAAATTTATAAATAAATATTGGATTTATCTGTTTATTCAGTTGTTTTACTTACCACAATGAATATTTCTAATTGATTAATATCAATACTTGATGTTATTATACTCTGTATCATTTTACAGTAATTTATGCAAAAGTGGTATACAGATGCTGAAATTAAAAATTAAGATATTCCAGTATTAAAATATAGAATATACCTTAGCTCTCCTGCCTCATTATTCACTATTATTACTATTAATTAAATGTGTATGCCACCTTAGTCCCAATGACTCCGGGTGGCTCATCTATCATAAGACCACATGAAGCAGATTTTTTACTTTATCTAACCACATTAATGAACTCAAGGTATTCTTCATAACCACATATTGTTACCATATATTGTTACCCTCTAAGGCAGTGGTTCTCAACCTATGGGTCGGGACCCCATTTGGGGTCGAACGACCATTTCACGGGGGTCGCCAAACAAGGCTGTCCGCCATTTTTTTCCCATTTTCTTTGGCCACGCCCCTGGCACCCGGTGATGTATAAGTGGTTGGGGGTCACCACAACATGGGGAACTATATTATGGGGTCGCGGCATTAGAAAGGTTGAGAATCACTGCTCTAAGGAATTATTTTTAAAAAAATCTATAAGTCGCTGATAACCATGTATACTTAATAACTCATGTACACTCATGTACACTTAATAACTCATGTACACTTAATAACTCATGTACACACAAATAAATGCTAAACTAAATGTTATTGGAAAAGCAACAGCAGTGTCGTTTGAGGAACTGATATGAGGATTAATCAGTTTAACGTTCATATCAATTACTGCAATAGTTAAGGTTAGGTGCAAGGTAAAATATTAGACCAACATTTGGTAAATCAACAGTTTAGAATAGGGATAGGCAACTTTGGCTCTTTTATGACTCGTGGACTTCAACTCCCAGAATTCCTGAGCCAGGCACGCTGAGGGGAAAAGGAAAGATTTCCAAGCTGAGCCATGCTGGCTCAGGAATTCTGGGAGTTGAAGTCCACGAGTCATAAAAGAGCCAAGGTTGCCTACCCCTGGTTTAGAACCAAGCCTCCCTATGAAATCACTTCCTTTGTTATTACAGGGATATATCAATCCCTGGTCCTATTTGTTTTTGGAAGGCATCAACTACAGAACTCCAGAGATAGTTTGCCACAGAATATCAGATACTGTAGTACAATGAATGCAGGTAGTCCTCAACTTACGACCATAATTGAGCCTGGGAATTATGATCATAAATTGTGAATTGTAAAGTGACCGGACCCAATTTTATGCTTTTTTTGTGTGTGGCAGTCATTAAACAATGCTCATTAAGCAAACACATTTTTCATTATGGGACTTTCCCCCCCCCCCCGCCCGGAAACTGGAAGTAAATGCTGGTTTCCAGGAAAAAAAAGTCATAAATTGCTGTTATGAGACCATGGAGTGCTGCATAAATAAGGGCCGGTTGCCAAGCACCCAAAATGCCATTACATGACTGGAGGGGGTGAAAGTCAGAATCATAGCTTTCTGAGGGATCTGTCATAACCTCAAACGGTCACTAAGCAACCAATCATTTTAATTCAAGGACTGTGCGTGGATCTTTCTTTTTATACTTTTTTGAAGACAGGTAATCAAGAATACTACTGCTGAAAAGAGTATGCTGGAATAGAGAAGCTGTCTAGCAAGACCTCTTCTTATGTCTTAGGGCAGTGGTGGTGAACCTATGGCTTGCGTGCCAGAGGAGGCACTCAGAGTCCTCTTTGTGGGCATGCGCACCATTGCCTCAGCCCCACCTCCGCCCATGGCCCCCTCCTCACCAGCAGCCCCCCTAGAGGAGAGTCACGCCTGGACATGGCCTGCACAGAGCAGCGCAGCTAAGGACATAGCCAGGCAGTAGGAACAAGACTCTGCCTTCGCGCCCCATAACATGTAGATGATGCTGTGGGGTGTGGGAGGAGGGCGTGGCTTCCATGGCGCTGCAGGGCTGCCTGGGCAATCTGTTGCGGCAGGCCATGGAGGAGGTGCGTAGCCCTGCGGGCGGGCAGGGCAGGGGGTGGACGGCGCCAAAGCAGGCAGGGCGGGAGACAGAGTAGGGGCGGTTTTTGGGCGCTCGGTCTCTAAAAGGTTCGCCATCACTCTCTTAGGGTGACAGATAGGTAAAGACTGAAATCTCCCTATTCACCCCCCCCCCACATACGAAATTTGGGGATTGATTTGGCTGCTAATTAGCTATTGACTGATTGATCCTAAATCAGACAGTTACTGGTTAAGGGAGCCACTTTTAAAATCTCACACCTGTAGTGAATCAGCAAAGTGTGCTGTACTGCTTGATGTCCTTGAAACCAATTGCCCAAACAAATGGCAAAAAATGGCAACAAAACAACAAGGAACACATACCAACTGGTGGATGCTGTCAATAGCTCGGTTGTATTTGTCACAAAGTCTTTGCATGCTTTCAAAGCTAAAATAACAAGAAAGAAAGACAAGAGTCATCAGTTAGGCAAATACATATTCTCTCAATAGTCTTAACAACTGTCTGCTCAGCCACAAACATCCTATAGAAGCTGTATTAATTATACCTTTGGCCAACTCTCCGGAAAGTTTTTTTCTGAAGTATCTTCTAATTCTTTAAAGGTTATAGGATCAACAGGTTGGATATATAATTAAATACAAGCTGTTAGTAAATATATCTAAACTACACATTCCCAGAGGTCACAAGTAAATCAACTGAAATATCTGCCTAGAAAGAGCTTTAAATGAAAATACCCTTGTGACATCGTCCTGTACGTTCAGAAATTAGTTCTACTGAATTCAGTTTCTATCATCACACATAAGACGATAGAAACTTTAGAACTGCAAATAGCGCAATTCATTAACTTCTACATTGCTTAAAGGGTCAGCATTAAAATGCACGGACACAGGAGCACCCGTATTTGTGCTAATAATTCTGATGTTCAGAAGCAGCATTTCGAAATCTTTCAGTGTCAAAGTTCTCCTAGGGGACCCTTGATTACCTAAGTCAGACATGTCAAACACAAGGCCCAGGGGCTGGATGAGGCCGGCGAAGTGGTTTCATGTGGCCCGCGAAGGCATCCTGGAAACAGTGAGGGAACGGCCCCTGCTGCCTTGGCCCTGGCCCAGGCTGGCCGGGAGCCAATATACAATTTTGTGGTGGCCATCTATGCTGAAACGCATTCAGTCTTAGCTCCACAAGGCTGTCTGGAAACAATGAGGAACCAGTCCCTGCCATGTTGACTTCTCCCCCTGGGTACATGCTGGGGAGGTGTCCCCCTTTGTGAGGAATGAAGAAATGAACCATGCCTTGGCGCTTTGTCCCAGTCCCACCCCCTTCTGCCAGAGACCCTCAGATCTGTCCCATTCCTGCCCAGCCCCCACAGGCACCCTTGACGCGAACGATGTAGAGCTGGCCATGCCTACCCAGTAGGCCACACCCACTCCATCCACGCCCACCCAGTAGGCCGCACCCACCCTGGCCACACACACCCCCAAAGGCAACCACAATGCTGATGTGGCCTTCAATGAAATTGAGTTTGACACCCCTGGCCTAAGTAAAGGATACCCGTTTTCCAACCTGGTGTCCTCCGATGCCAAGACCAGCTGAATAGTCTGCAAATTGTAATCCCAGGAACACCCAGAGGGCACCAGATTAGAGAAATGCTGCTGTAGGCATACAAGATTCATCATATGAACTGGCTGGACTAATACTCCCCCCCCCCAACTTAACTGAGGATGAAAGAATTAAAGAATCATCTCAGGCCATGAGGATGGAGGGAGAGGAAAGAAGGGAGGGACATGGCAGTCACATGTCCACTGCATAATCAGATTTCAAGCTTCAGTGCAAAGAGCTTTGCAGCAGCTACTCCAGAGCAACGGGAGAGCATATTGGAGCATGTCAGCAATAAACCTGACTTTGTAACTGAACAGTCACCAATACCGTTGCCTAATCCCAAGGGTGTGTGGTCAATTTCCAATTTATCTCTTGTTGTGTTTGTATTTTCAAAAGGTTTCCCAGGATACCTCAGTGGCATTCACAGTAGCACACTCCCTCTATCTGGAAAGAGCCCAATGGCTTATCTAACTCTTGCAATGAGAATGCAGAAGCACCTTTTTTTTCCATACAGAAAAAGACCTCCAGTCTTTGGAATCCATATGTTTGGAAGAGGCACATCAGCCTCTGGAGCAGAGGTCTCCAACCTTGGCAACTTTAAGACTCGTGGCCTTCAACTCCCAGAATTCCTCAGCCAGCATGCCTGGCTGAGGAATTCTGGGAGCTGAAGTCCACAAGTCATAAAAGGGCCAAGTTCGAAGACCGCTGAGTTAAACTGATAACGAACAGCAATCTCGTTTGCCAAGGATGTCCATTGTATTGTGCAATTATTGACAAACAGGATATCATTAACCCAGTGGTTCTCAACCTGTGGGTCAAGACCCCATTTGGGGTCGAACGACCATTTCACGGGGGTCACCAAACAACGCAGTCCGCCATTTTTTCCCCCTTTTCCTTAGCTGTGCTATTCCCTTTTATTCTATTGGCTTTTGAAAGCCAATAGAATAGACTCTCTTGAATACAGTCTAATTCTATTGGCTTTCAAAAGCCAATAGGAATTGTCCAGGCTGTCTCTGCCCTGCTGAGCCCACCAAAAGTCCCATTCTGCAAACGGTGCTGCACCAGTTGAGAGTCCTCGACTTACGACCGGTTGAGTAGTCCTCGATTTACGACCGGTTGGGGGTCGTGGCATTAAAAAGGTTAAGAATCACTGCATTAACCGATATCCTAAAAGCATAATAATAGCCCCTAAGTATTATACTGAAGCATTCAATACTGGAGGATTAATCCATGAAGAGAGTTTGTCAAAGTTAAAATGTTTGCTTCTCTTGGAGAAAAAAAAGGCTCATGAATTAGAATGGAGTGGCACAGATTATACTCTGCAACTATATTCCCATGTGTGCCACAAAGGCTTGTAGAGAGTCCTGCCAGTTAATATTTAACAGAGGTCCTTGATAGGCTGAAGATGACATACAAGATTTAGTATTCATTTTGTCATTTCGAAAAGGAAGAATAGCAGGCAAACAACTCAATCACTTTTTCTACAAAAGTGCAAATGAACAACCTCCACCCCATTCCAGAATTTATTAAGGTCAATGCTCAAACTCTAAACTCCAATTCTTGCTTTAAAAAAAAAAAAAGGGAAGTTCAAATAATCGACAATCAGCATATGTGCAGAAAGAGTCATGGTTAAAAAAAAAAGTGACTACTATTTCAGCTGTGCTAGCTGCAAGTTTATTTTTAGGGTCTCCTTAATTAAATGCTGAAGGATCCCGCCTTGCCACTGAAATCAGCTGAAGGGATTTCCTTGTATATACCTTTATATGTATTCCTTTTTTAATATGGGACAGAACTCTTCTGTCCCAGGAAATCTGTTTAACAGTTTCCTTAAATATATATCATATTGTTTCTTTGAAAGCTATTTGTTTCACAGCAGTTTAAAAGTTAATCTAGTTAATCCGATCAATAATTTTATCTGCTATTTTGTTTGCTTTTCATCTGCGGTTATCACATGGGTCGCTGTCCTTAGTATTGTTAGCCACTTAGGCTTTCTAGGACTTAAAGGCAAGATATCAAAAATATTACACAAAGAATTAATAAAAAACAATGAAAAGTTTCTAATGAATTAAGCTCAATGAGGTATTTACAAAGAAAGGAGATTAAAATAGCTTTTTTAAACCTGATGTCTTCCAGGGGGGGGGGGTCTAGGATAACTCACCATGGCCAATTTGCCACAGCCAACTTACTGTGGGACAACTCCCCATGGGACAAGAGTTGCATTAATTAACAAATAAATGATGGGATAGAATCATTAAAGAAAGGATGCCAAAGGAGGGACAAAAATCAAATGTAAATGACCAAAATTAAAATAATGCTTTAATTGTTTTAAATGATTAAATTGAATTGTTGAATTGTCCCGTGGCAAGTTGCCCATGGTGAATGATCCAGTGGCAAGTTGGCTGCGGTGAACTGACCATGGCAAGATGGCTGTGGCGAGCTGGCCGCAGTGAGCTGTCCCATTCCACTGCCAGAGGTTAGGCCACAATTTTCATTGTCGATAGGAAGGACACCTAGTTAAGGAAGATACCATGAACTATCGTTAAGTAATGACAGTATGTTTTCACTGCAAGTTCAGCCAACATTCAGGATGGCAGAATGAGATCTGTTAAGTCTGGACAGAGAAGAACAAGACATCATTCAGCTGGGAGAAATGTAATTACATTTAGGGAAAAAATATAGGGCACACATGTAAGATGGGAAGTTTGTGGTTTGAACCTGAGGAAGATTTGGATGTGGCCATTGTCAATGAACATTAATCAACGCAAACATGTGAGAGACAGTTGCTACAAGAGCAGTGTAATCTTGGGCTGCATTACAAGAAGCATTGTACCAAAGAAACAGGAAGTTATTATTGTATATACTGGCTACCAACGAAACCACACCTGGAATACTGTACACTCCCAAGGATTTGGGATTAGAGAGTTGGCAACAAAGGTGATACAGAGACTTGAGAAGAGGTAGGAATGATCAGTCTGAGGAAAAGAAGATTTGGGGCACACGTAATAACGATATAGCCATCTCTCAATTATGGTAGGAGTGGTTTTCCTGAACACAGCAGAGGGGTGATGATCCTTAGTCCCTTCTAACTCTACAATCCTATGGTTCTATTATTCTAAATATAAGAAATCTAAAGTTTATTAACTGTAGCCTTGCCTAAAAGATGCAGTTAGGATTGCTTGACAGGAATTGCAGAGTAACTGATAAGCCAAAACTCCCTAAGGCTATTTTGCCAGTACAGCCCAGAACACTTTGGACTACTGCTCCAGATAAACTCACAGCAGAATAACATTTAAGGGGCGAAAGTCACCTTTAAACTGCACTGCATCTCCTAACAGAGATATAAATAAAAAAGCTGCTGTGGTTCGTTTTGGTAACATCTGCTTCAAATTTACTGTTTGAAGTTACTTTAAGTGGAAAAGGAACAATTCCTAACAATGAAACCAGGATTCCGTCAAAGACCTTCATTAATGCCAATTTTGGTTACATGCCTTAGGAGAGAAACCACAAAGTGGCAGTCAAGCTACTCATTTATTGCTTGGTGTTTTGCAGCAAAAGTTTTTAAAAAGGGGGGGAGGGGTCATACAGTGGCTATTATTTATTAAAGTATTTTTTTACCTGCCTTTTAGCACATATGTTCAAAAATGCTGACAATGTAAAGAAAAATAAAAAGCCAATAAAATACATTCTCAAAACAAATTGTATTTTGGGATTCAGTAAAATAATTCATCAATACCAAATCTGCAACTCAGCAGATAAAACATCCTGCCAAAGGGAAGCTAACAAGGGAATAGAACAGGTTTTGTTATTCAGGAAGTTTCAAAGCACACTACAACCAAGGAAGGCCTTTGCGTGGATCCATACAATCATTCATATTTGGTGGGATGTACCGTATTTTCCAGAGTATAAGACGACCCCTGACTCCAGAGAAGATTTGCATGGTTTAGAAAGTGGTCTTATACACCGGAAAATATGGTAATAAAGGTGAAAATCTTTGCCAACATTGGTGTTTACTTGTTCTCAAGGATTTTTTTAAGCTCCTTGCTGCTTGCTCCACATGCAATTAGTTCAGTGATTGTTCAAACTTAAAAGGGCACTGAACAAGTGATAATTGCAATCAATCTTCAGAGTTCTAGTCATAAAAGTGTCCCCACAATCACATGATCACAATTTCCAATATTCCCTGCCAAGTTCCCCCAAGGAAAGCCTGCAGGAAGTTGGAAGTTGCAATCATGTGAGGTCATGGTAAAATATAACAGAAATATTCTAAAGTATTATTTATATTTTTTAAATTATTTTTACAGAATCTGAGACTAATTCTATACCAGGTATCAATTATCCAACTGCCTTTTGTAACTGCAACAGTAGTTCATAAGCCTACTGTAATTGCTGCATTTAGTCCTGCTACAATAAGTTACCCCTACTGAAGAAATAAATAGATTATCACTTTCTCACCTTTTAGTATCATAGTCAATTAAAACATAGTTTTCCATAGCAAGCTTGAGGTCTGGAATTTCTTCACAGACCCACCTGAAAAACAAAAAACAAAGAAAATCAATTAATCTTACAAACAAATCTCCTAAATTCCCATATTACTTTCTGGTTATATATATATATTTATTTATATATATTATTTATATATATAAAATCCCTGCCAGTCCAAATACATTTACAATTCATCATTTGCAGCTCACTGGCAGTCTGAGGGGGAAAAAAGAATGTTTATTCAACTAAAGCAGGGGTAGGCCACCTTGGCTCTTTTATGACTTGTGGACCAGAATTCCTGAGCCAGCCATGCTGAGGGGAAAGGGAGAGGTTTCCAAGCTGAGCCATACTGGCTCAGGAATTCTGGGAGTTGAAGTCCACAAGTCATAAAAGAGCCAAGATGGCCTACCCCTGAACTAAAGCAAAGAAATATTCTTACTTGTCAGGTATTCAGAGTAATAGTTATTTTCAAATCTCCAAGAAATAAATTTAAAGTAGTTAAACTTTATTATTTTATTTATGAAATCTGTATGTCACCCATCTCTCTACCAAGCAACTGGGCAGCTTACAATACGGTAATTAATAGAATAAAATAATTACTGTATTAAAACATTAAAACATCATTCATTAAAAGTTAAAATGTTAAAATTAGTATTAAAACAGATCAAAAGAACTAGTGCATAGATGGGGTGGAAAGGGGACCTTTTACTAATCTATTTTATGCATATTTTTTCAGGAATACTCCTTAACAACATCCATGAGGAATAATGCAAACAACTAAATGCTCAGTTGCTCTCACTTATTTGAAATAAGAACCTTGCCAGACAATATAAGCCCGAGACCAACGTGGTGTAATCTGATATAGTACTAAGTGGCATTTCCATCACCACCACCTGCCCGCTACCGCACATCCTTGGAATTGGGAGACTGCCAGGGATTGCCATCTTGGACTTCTTCAATTAAAGCAGATGTTTAACTACTGAGGTATGGCTCCTCCTTCCTGATGTGTACCTCATTTTATGTTTTTTCCTGATGTGTACAGCATTTTATGTTTTGTTTTGTTTTTTGTTTTTGCAATGCTGCAACAAAGCAGCAATGCTAAATACAGATAGTCCTCAATTTACAACAGTTCGTTTAGTGACCGCTGAAAATGCGACTTATGACTGTTTTTCAGTTATGACCTTTGCAGCAACCCCAGGATCATGTGATCGAAATTCAGATGCTTGGCAACGAGCTCATATTTATGACTGTTGCTGTGTCCCAAGGTCATGTGATCACCTTTTGCGAGCAAAGTCAATGGGGAAGCCAGGTTCACTTAACAACTGGGTTACTAATTTATCAACTTAACAACAGAAATGTTGGGCTCAATTGTGGTTGTAAGTTGAGGACTACCTGTACTGTAAAGGCTGAAGATTTGGGGTAATAGAAACTAAAATGATGATGCAGAGTCTGGAAAATGGTGTTTTTTTCAGCCTGGAGATACCAGGTTAACACAGTGGGGAGAAGTAATATCAAAACAAGATACAATGAGACAGGGCTTTGTTTTGTCATAGAACACACCGGAACGGAATTCCGGCACCTTTTTTTCAACAGATTTTCCAGAGTTGCGTTCTTTTCCTATTGCCCTTCCTATCTTCGTTTGCTTTTGAAAATGCCCCACATTTACCTTGAACAAAATCCTAGTCTTTTAAATACACTAAAAATTGAAGAGTTTTTTTTTTCAACTACAAAGGTAAACCTTGTAGGGTAGGCAAGGCGGGTTGTATGACCGTGTGTGAGTTCCGGCACTTTTGTTTTTTTTAACAAAAAAAGCACTGCAATGAGATAAGAGGCAACCCACACAAATTACTATTCCTCTTCTAGAGAGATAATGGCCACTGGTTTTGAGCAGTATAAATTACCAATTCTATTTTAACTTATTAGCCATATATTTGTGTTTATGTCTTGAGGCGCACAGAAAATTCTCAGAAAGAGAAACTACTTTTTCTATTTATATCTCCCTTCTTCCTTGACCCATATCATGCATATCTGAAGGGTGTTTTTTCAAGAAGCAACTGGACATTCTTGTTTTTCTTTGAAGACGTTTCGCTTCTCATCCAAGAAGCTTTTTCAGTTCTGACTGAATTTTGGAGGATGGAAGAATTTATATTCCTTGCAGACAGCTGGTCATTTGCATTCTTTTAGAGAATCAATGAGGCCACTTGGAGGTTTATCTGTGTCTTCAGGGTCACCTGAGTAATGCAGATGGGTGTGGGAACCTTCTTGGAACTGCTGAAAAGACTGTGTTGTAGACTGGAGATAGATGATGTCGTATCCCTCACCCTCTGTTGAGAGACCAGTTGCCTCTTGAAAAAGCACCTTTGGGACAACCATGACCTGGACAACTGAGAATCTCCATTATCATGCATAGTTATTGTTTTATTTATTTATATTCCATCTTTATTATTTTTACAAATAATTCAAGGCAGTGAATGTGCACTCCTTCCTCCTCCCATTTTCCCCATAACAACCCTGTGGGGTGGGCTGGGCTGGGCTGAGAGAAATGTATTGGCCTGAAGTCCCCCAGCTGGCTTTCGTGCTAAGTTGGGACTAAAACTCATGATCTCCCATTTTCTAGTTTGGTGCCTTAACCACTAGACTAAACTGACTCATGGAAGACCTAGGGAAGGAACTCTTAGAGGTACCTTTTAAAGTTTTGCTTTCTCAGTGAATTGTCTTGATAAGCCTTAGCCTCAAAAACTGATAATATTCTAAATAGCTAGGTTGTGTCAGACAGAGGGACCAGTTATTGGGCAAGGCAATTTGGAGCTTATCCTTCACTTGTGAGTCCCATAAAAGATTATCGTCTGAATTGCATCAACAAAGCTAGAAGGCAACAGCAATGGGAATGAGGCAATGCTGCTTTGCCCAAGAAACCAAATCCCTCTGGGCCAAAGAAAGGAGTTATCTGAAGGCTTAGATTCAGTGGTTTTTCTACAAGATAGCCATTTGTGATTCATAACAGAGTCAATGAGATCTTTTGACAGAATGCTACTTAATGCAATCAGAAAGAGGTAGAACAATAGGCATAATTAGAAGGAAGTATCTGATAGAATCCAGCTAAGATTATTTGAGCAGCTATTTAAGACAACTGCTGCACTATTCAAATCAAGCTATTGGACCAAAGGTGAAATAATTCCCATACATGAAGGACTGAATCTTTTCTGGCCCCATTAATATTCAAAGCAACATACTTGGTTTCCTCTTTTGAGGTAAAATCTCAGTCTTGTCACTAGTTAGCAGAGAAAGTCCTGCTCTCAATAGTAACGTTCCTAATGTTCCAAAAATAGGATGTCCATAGTTTTAGGTTACTATTGTGTTTTGCTCAAATTATAAGCACCATTAAAACAAATGTAGACTGTAATGTATTCTGTAAATTTCATAAATATGTTAATGATGCATTCATTTTAAGTTCATTTATGTTTTAAGTGTATTAAGTTCATATTTAATTTATTTCAATGTGTCCTCAAAAATCTGCTTTTTCCTCCAGTTTCAGAATGTCTGCAAATTTCATTTCTCTAAACCTAATCCTGACAAACTAACCATCAGTCTGCAAAAGTTACAAAGGGATCTGCTCTGCTCCTATACAACAGTGGTGGCAAACCTATGGCACGCGTGCCAGAGGCAGCACCCAGAGCCCTCTCTGTGGGCACCCACAACGTTGCTCCAGCCCCGCCTCCCCCCTCTCCTCACTAGCAGTCCCCCGGAGGAAAGTTGCCCCCAAGCGTAGCCCATGCAGAGCAGCACAGCCAAGGACATGGCAGCTGGGCAGCGGGAACAAGACTCCACCATCATGTCCCATTACGCGCAGTTGATGCTGCGGGGCGCAGGCGGAGGGGGGCTGCCATGCTGCTGCTGGGCCACCTGGGTGATCTGTGGCAGGCCGTGGAGGCGGTGGGTGGCCCTATGGGCAGGTGGGGCACGGGGATGGAATGGGGTGGGCAGGGGGTGGAGTGGAGGGGGGGCAGGGCCAGATTTGGGGCACTCGGTCTCTAAAAGGTTCGCCATCACTGCTATACAACTATGGTAGAATATGATAATCTTTAGTGAATGTATTTCAAGCTTTGTAGGCCTTACACATAACAGTAATAAATCTGTTGTTCAGAGGACAGGTTAAATCTACTTTTAATGCACACGTTCAGTCAGAATATAGCACACTTGAGCAACCTGCAGACTAGTCAGAAATATTGTCAGCATACAGACCTACACAACCAGAATAATGAACAAAGATCCCATGCCTCCCTATGTCCTAGGATAAAAAGGATGAACTGCAAGCAATGTATACTAAACTGGGATATAGAGAATCTAGTCCATTGCCTACTATCCAATTCCCAAAGTAGATGCACAGCTATAATTACTGAGGGGAAAAACCAAGGAGACACATTGCATCATCTGCCTCACTAGCAGCCAAAGTGATTGAGGTACGTGTTCACCTTTGAACCTGTACACAGATACGTTGTTATTCTTGGCACTGGGAAACATTGAAGAATGTCCTCAACTGGGAAAGAATATAGCTCCAATGCAAAGCATAGAATTTATACACCAAGAATCAAATTGCAGATGATGTGAAAGACTATTGTTGGAAACTCTACGGCTGCAATGAAGAGGCTGCTTTATTTGTTTGTTTGCAAAATTTACTGGCTGCCCGTCTTATCACAGGGTAATTCTGGGCGGCTTACAAGCTTAAAAAGATAAAAATACAAAAGCTAAAATAAATAAAATACTGTACGTCCCAATTAAAAGATGGGGAGGGCGGGAGCAGGAGGGGGAATTTGTTGTTAATCTGCCAATCACCTCCGCCGAGTTACTCGCCGTTATACTAAATCAGTCTGTGACTAGATGATGCATACAGCGTAACTACATCTGAGGGTCTACGCTAAGGCAACTCGCCACGGCCAACTGGCCATGGGACAACTCGCTGTGGGACAATGTTTACACTAATATCGAATAAATAGTGAAAAAGAATCATTAAAGAAAGGATGCCAAAGGAGGAACAAAATGAAATGTGAATGACAAAATTAAAAAAAAAATTATTTTAAGTAATTAAATTGAATTGTTGTCCCGTGGCGAGTTGTCCATGTTGAGTTGTCCCGCAGTGAGTTGGCCGCAGCAAGATGGCTGCGGCGAGTTGTCCCATTCCGACATCAGAATGGGATTTAGTTTTGGGTTGGGATGTTGTGTGACCAGGTCAAATAGTTTGTTTACCGTAATTTATGATTTGGCAACACGAATGAATCCAGCCAATAAACCACGGTAACAAAATAATAGTTTTACCACAATATATGTCCTATATATCCTATATTCTGTTGTTTCATTATTTTTAATGAGACCCAGAAATGGTATTGTAAGTCTGTATGGAAAAGCATAACATATCGTAAGAATTTGAGATTACACCACCAAGTATAGAATCCTAATAAGAACCAAGTTTCCATTCTTCATCTCTTCCCTATCAGAAGACTCACTTGCTGTTTTGAGATGCAGCCGTGGGAGCATAAGGGAGAGAAAGCTTTGCAGTTCATATTTGCCTTAACACCTACCGAAGTGTCTCAATGATTTCGTGAGCAGCATCATGGTGTTTGTCCTGAAACAACAAAAAAAAAAACAGAAAAGAGGTGGCTTCAGGACATCTAGGAAGTGACATCATCTATGTTGGCTGTCAGTACAAGAGTCATTTGCTTTAATAAACATTGTTTGCAAATGCAGAGAAAGAAAACTTAACCTCCTTTATTAAAACATTATATCAACACAAGACAAATTCTATGCTTCCTATTTGTCCCCAACTAAGAATACATTTGTGTGAAAAGTATCCAGTTTATATCATCTACACAACACTAGATCAACCTATTGCAATCCTATCTCAGGGCACCACAGAATGATGAAAGCTATGCTAAATACTACCAGCTGCATTCAGTGGAACAGACAAGCTAGTTCCACTTCCAAAATAGAAGGAGGTCAATCCCTCCAAATCCATAGGCCAATTTTATTTCATTTCAGCATTTTGAAACAAAAGGGAATAATAAAGCTTCTTTATAATTCATCTTCAAATATTTTATGCAGCCATATCAAAAAAAACTATGTACTATTTTATACAGTAATATGCAAAAGTAGAAACCGATGCTTGTCATGTTGTCTCTATAGCAGTGGCCCTTAACCTTTTGGGCACCAGGGAATGTGAACTTGAGGGGGGGGGGGTTTCACACACTGCCTTGTACGCCGTGCATGTGCGAATGGGGTTTCGCTCATTTGCGCAGCCCAGTTTCTGCCATGCTGCAGATCAGTGGCGGTCTACAGCCCGGGGATTGGGGACCCTTGCTCTATAGCAGGGCTTTTCAACCTTTTCACCCATTGTACCATTTTTAGGATATTGCAATATCCAAGTACCACCAGTCCCCTAGCAAGATGTCAAAAACTTGATGAGCAAAAAAAAAAAAAAAAGGAAAAAGGTGATAAAGTACAGGTAGTCCTCGACTTACAACAGTTCGCTTAGTGATTGTTTGAAGTTACAATGGCACTGAAAAAAGTGCCCCCCAAGGCACAGCCGAGCAAGACACCCTGCCCACCCAGTGGCACTTTCATTCCCCTTCCCCGCTACCACTTTTCTAGGATGGTCGCGTACCACCTGCCAGGTGCCAATGTACCACAGGTGGTACCCGTACCACTGGTTGAAAAGCCCTGCTCTATAGAACATTCATATTTAGAAGAAGCCAATATCTGATTTCCAGATGCTAGGGAAAGACAGCAAGGGCAAGCTGTTGCATTTATATCCTTCTTGGGGCCATTGTGGAAAGCAGAAATCTAGATTAGTTGGATCCTTAGTCAAAACTAACAAGATTCTTGATGACTTCTGGGGAACGGTAAGGTGAAGACGCAGAGCCAATGACTGCAGCAAAGAACACAGAATTGGTGAGTAGATCCTTGGAACTTATTCAGATAAACAGAGGACAGGAGATTGCCCACATATACTTCAAACAGCTGCTCCTCATGAGGAGTCCATGAAGATAGCAATTTTCCCTGGATTGAGCATTGGGAGACAAAGGGATCCGCCTTCTTGCTTACAATCAAGACAGAGAGTTTTAAAGGATACTTAAATTCGCAGATCTCAATTTCTAATCACTTTCAGAAACCTCTCATTAATTACTTCTAAGCTATTAGAGAACAATGGGTTTGAAAACACCTGGCGACTCTACCTTCAATCCTGAATTAAAATAATAATAATAAACATATATATTTAAAGAAACTGAAATAAGCAGCAAAAAGCTAAATAAGTTTTTAATCTTAGAAAGTTATAAATTGTCTAAGGGGTCCAGGTAAAATTGGAGTATTGAAGCTTTTTCATAAGATCTTGGAATTAATTCTAAAATTACAAGCAGCTTCCCTGTTTTGGTTTTTACAAGACAAAGATAAGCAATTTCAGGATTTCAAAAATTGGATACTCAGGGAGCTAACATTTTTAGGTATAAGCTTATCAAATGTTGCAAAATGTTTAACAATGAAATATTGAAGGAAACTTTAAAGAAGAGAAACAAGACAATAGTAACCACAATTTCAACAATGACAGTAATATCTGTTTCTCGATTGTTGAAGAAATAACAAACATAAAACAAATTTCATCTGACAAAATAGAGACGGCATTGAAAGTGGATTTACAACTGACAGGGCAAGATAATGACTTAGAAAAGGGTGTTTCATTAGATTTTACAAAAGAAACTGGCTGAGGTTTTAAAATTTAAGAGGGAAATGCAAATGATAAACCAAGAGAGTGACTTAGATAACTTTTTCCTATTAGATTTAAAGAGGCTTGTTAGAGCTTTGAAATGTTCTGTGTGATGCAACAAAGAAGAAATGAAGAGAAACCAAATCCTACAACAATATCTGAATAAACTAAAAGTCAAGCCTTTTAGAAATAAAAGGAAAGAATGTAAAGTTGGTTTATTTGATCTAGGTCAGTGATGGCGAACCTTTTAGAGACCAAGTGCCCAAACTGCAACCCAAAACCCACTTATGTATCATCGGGTGCCGGGTGGGTGTGCCCCATTGGGTGGGCGTGCCCCATTGGGTGGGCGTGGCTGTGGTGGTAACGGCAGACTGGGTGGGACTAAAAAGTTCAATAAATCAATTCCAACTTTGCAAGATCTTTTTTTTTCCCTGAGAAGTTGAAATTGATTGATTGATTGACTGAACCTTTTTTTTTTTTGCACACGGTGGTGGACGCCTTAAGCGAAAAGGTTTTATAAAACCCAGCTGAAGGCCTAAGACTGGGGCCTTTGTGTTAGGGACTCGTTTGTCAATAAGGGCGGGTTTCCAAATGGCTGGTAGGCGGGAGGTATCATCTCGTTTATTCATGCTGTGTGGGTGTTTTTCTATCGCGATAGCTTCTCTAATTATTCTGTTATTAAAGTGTTCAGTTTTGGTGATACTTCTGGTCTTTAAAATGAGTCCCTAACACAAAGAATGACACCAGACCCACACTCACAAAAACCACACAGGATGTCACCACCACACATCCACGCAAAAAGCAAACCCAAACCCACACCAATGATGAGGCACGACCACAAACCAGAAGCCAGACCACAGCTGCATCATTAGCCACTTTAAACCCCTTCAATCCATACATGAAGCAAACTGACACCCACCATGAAGATGAGGCATGACCACGAATGCGAAGCCAAACAACAGCAATGCAGCTCACCATTTCAAATCCTCCTGCAACTCAGACTAACCCGAGCACAACAAAGCCCCCACCCAAACAGAACACTCCCCCATCCAATCAGAGCACAGCCAATCCCCCATCCAATCAGAGCACAGCCAAGCTCCTAACCAATCAGACCACACCTTCACCCAATCAGAACACAGCCAAGCTCCCATCTAATCAGTTCATACCCCCACTAGCAGTTAAAAGGAAGAAACAGCTACGATCACACATTGCTCCTAGAAGCAAGAAGCCGAAAACACCAGCCCGAAGATGACGAATGGAACTTCGTCGAAACGTCGCCAAGACACTTCCAATTTGACGCGGGAGAAAACCCGAATAACCAAAGACCTACGTACAAACACCCGCGAAAACCTCAGAAAACATATATATACTCCTCTATTATATTCTTTTCTCTTTTTTTCACTTTTTACTCTTTTCTATTCACTTCTCTTTCTTTAAAATTGTTTTACGTTAGATTTTACTATTATAATCAAAATTCTTAATAAAAACCGCGTCTCACAAAAACCCCACAATATAGTTCTAAAATTCTAATGCAAAAGAATAGCCCTTACTTATGAATCCTTCTCATTTCAACTATCCACTTTTAGTAACAAATAGAAATTAACACCTGGTCTCTTTACTGAATTCAAAAACATAGAAGCTACAGATAGAATCTGATTAAGCTTTCCATATTCCTAATGAATTCAAGACAATGATGAGATTAGAAATGGGAATATCTTGACTCACAAGAGTCTTTTAATTAGATGCTATACAACAGTGGTTCTCAACCTGTGGGTCGGGACCCCATTTGGGGTCGAACGACCATTTCACGGGGGTCGCCAAACAAGGCTGTCTGCCATTTTTCCCCCTTTTCTTTGGCCACGCCCCTGGCACCTGGTGATGTATAAGTGGTTGGGGGTCACCACAACATGGGGAACTGTATTATGGGGTCGCGGCATTAGAAAGGTTGAGAACCACTGCTATACAAGAATGTGAAGAATCTCAAATGTAAAAGCTTAAGAATTCAAACAATATGCTTAAAAATATTAGAAAGTTAAAAGAGGCATTTGTTTGATGGGAAAGTCTGCTTTCAAATGTTGTGTTCTTAGCCCTCTATATTTTCAGTTGATTTCAAATTCAAAACAAAAACATTATTTTTTTCCAAACCAGAACAGATTTTGAACCATTATCTAAAGTACTCATGAACTGAATTCATTATGCGGTATGCAGAACTTCACTGAAAATCTCCATCCTTTATGTATGCAGGACATATAGCTCCTCCTTCTGACTTTCTATTCATATATTGTGAATAACTCTAACAGATGATCATGTGAACAGCTGTATACAAAGACTTTCAGATAAACTGGAACCAAGCAGCATATGAGTCACATGAAAATCTCTGTAATGGTAGTACTATAAATAGCACTCTTATCATTTTCAAAATATTAAAATAGCGTTCTTTCAAAATTAGGAACGGGTATTAAGTGAGAAATTAATAAAAATCAATGTTTTTAAAAGTAATTGAGTTATATTATTTTTTATCTTAGAGATGTAACTATTACATTTCTTATAAAATAAACAGATGAGTATAACTAAAGATAAGGATATTGGCAATACATTTTATTTCTTAACAGAATCAGTATCCCTACAATTGAGATAAAGGCATTTTCCCCAGAGTAAAGGGCCATTTTGATCCTTTCTCAAATTTATTACTATTATTCCTAAGAAACATTAGCATTTCAATTTGATGAAAATGTTGCTTCAATCTGCCTAGGAAACCACACTTTTAAGACAAGCCAGCATTAGGTTCTTTATGGTATTCAAGTCAGAAAGCTTCCTGGATGAGTGGTGGAGAGCTTAATGGACAAGGAACACTGAGACTATCAACA